AGGGGGGGGGGCACTAAGGCGCGAGGGGCCAGCTAGGGCGCAAGGGGCCGGCTAGGGTGCAAGGGGCCGACAAGGGCGCGAGGGGCTTGCTAAGGCGCGAGGGGCCGGCTAGGGCGCGAGGGGCCGACTACAGCGGGAGGGGTCTGCTACGGCGCGTGGGGCCGGCTAGGACGCGAGGAGCCGGTTGGGGCGCGAGGGGCCGGCTACAGCTCGAGGGGCTGGCTATGGCTCGAGGGGCCAGCGAGGGCGCGAGGGGCTGGAGATGGCGCGAGGGGCCGACGAGGGCACTAGGGGCCCACTAAGGCGCGAGGAGCCGGCGATGGCACGAGGGGCCGACTAGGGCGCGAGGTGCCCACTGGGATTGGCTGGTCCTCCCCTTCCCTGAGCATAGACGGAATTATTTCCCGTCGAAGAGTGGGCGACGTTTTCGCCGTGTTTTTTGGGTATGTTCGTTAGAGTTTTCGTAATTTTCGGGTGTTCTGACGGAGTCTTCCGATGCTTCCGAAAAAAGCGAAGGCCTCATCAGGAGTGTCAGCAGACTAGGACGCTAGGAACGGTAGACGGCCATGGAATGGCATGAGGGTTTAGCTAGGAGAGTAAGTTGACGAGAGAAAAGAGGTCGAGAATAGAAGAGAGAGGGATACAAGGAGGGGGGTTGTACCCTTTACAGTAGGCTTCAGTAACACCTACCAAGCCTACCCATCATATATCAAAGATATAATTTAATACACCCCCTAGGCTTGGTAGCCGAAAGCACACCACACACGGGACACTAAGCCGCACACACCCCCTAAATCTAGCACCCCCATACTAAGTAGCAGCGACGGCTACACCGGCCCGATCAACCCTTCGGCGCGTGAAGTGGCGACGTCGACAGCAAGGGCTGCGGCGGCGATGGTGGCAGCGTCGATAGCGGCGGCGGCGTGGCCCCAACGCAAGCGGCGACAGCGGTGGCGGCGGTGCGGCTCAGCACTCGGCGGCGTGGCCCCAACGCAAGCGGCGACAGCGGCGGCGGCGGCGGCGGCGGGGCTCGCAGCACTCGGCGGCGTGGCCGGGCTCCGTGATGGTGGGATGGCCAGTGGGAGTCAGCCATCGGCTGCGGCGAGGAAGAGGGGACGCAGGAAAGGGGGGCGGGGCTTCTGCCACACGCCCGTGGCTGGCGTGCGAGCGTCAGGTTCGGCGGCACCTAAGACGTCACGCGGCCCGCCGCCGCCCGTCGACGCCGCCACTGCATGTTGAACGAAGGACGCTAGGAAGCCTTGGAATGGCACGAGGGTTTAGCTAGGAGAGAGTTGACGAGAGAAAAGAGGTCGAGATAAGAAGAGAGAGGGATACAAGGAGGGGGTTGTACCCTCTACAGGAGGTTTCAGTAACACTTACCAAGCTTACAATTATATATAACATCTATATAATTTAACACACCCCCTAGGCTTGGTAGTTTCAAGCCCACCCAACACCCAACACCCAACACCCAACACCCCCAAGCCCGGGCAACCCCATGTCCGGGCAAAGCATACAACACCACCAGGTGGGGCTTCTACCCTTCTTGCAAAGCGGTGATACCCCCGGCGGGTGGCAGCAACAGCGTCAGCGGCAAGAGTGACGACAGCAGCGGCAGCGGCGGCGTGCGGCGGCAAGAAGGCCAGCGGCACCAGCGGCGGCAGCGGCGGCGGCTTCGACGACAGCGGCGGCTACGGCGAGACTCGCGGCACTTGGCGGCATGGCACGACCCAGCGACGATCGGGTAGGAAGGCATCAGCTGCTGCTGGAACAAGGAGTGGCAGAGGCGGAGGGGGTGGGGGGGGGGCTGGCATGCGGGCGAGCTGGCTGGCACCTAAAACGGTGCACGACCCACCGCCGCTCGTGCGCTGACGCGGCGACGACGCCACGTCAGCACGACGACGCCGCCACAGCGTGGCGTCAACACCATGGCAGCGTGTGGAGGCTGCCATGGCGGCACAACGACGCCGCCACGGCAGCCCGACGCGGCGACGACGCCGCCACAGCAGTACAACAAAGCCGCCATGGCGGCGTGAGAGAGCGAGGAGGAGTGCGCGGCGGAAGCGAGAGAAGACGGTCCAACAGGATGAACCTGCTCTTTTACCATGTTGAACGAAGGACGCTAGGAAGCCATGGAATGGCACGAGGGTTTAGCTAGGAGAGAGTTGACGAGAGAAAAAAGGTCGAGATTAGAAGAGAGAGGGATACAAGGAGGGGTTTGTACCCTCTACATTAGGTTTCCGTAACACCTACCAAGCCTACAATTATATATAACATCTATATGATTTAACACTGCAGCATAACGCCGCCTCCACACCGCGGCGTCGATGCCGCGGCGGTACGTCAACGCTGTGACGGCAGCACGACGGCGTCGCCGTGGTGTGGCATCGACGCCACGCGTCAGGGCTGCGACGGCAGCACCACGACGCCGTCACTGCAGCGCGGCATGGCTGCGACGGCGGCATGAAAGCAGCGGAAATGACGATTGAAGTACGAGTACGCGACGGAAGCATGGGGAGCAGGCCCGGGAAGGGCAACCTGCTCTGATACCATGTCAGCAGACTAGGATGCTAGGAACGGTTGACGGCCATGGAATGGCGTGAGGGTTTAGCTAGGAGAGTAAGTTGACGAGAGAAAATAGGTCGAGAATAGAAGAGAGAGGGACACAAGGAGGGGGGTTGTACCCTCTACAGTAGGTTTCAGTAACACCTACCAAGCCCACCAATTATATATAAAAGATATAATTTAACAAGGAGAAGACAGGTGCACAGGAGTCCTCAGGCGGCCGAGAGTTGGTCGTCAGGAGCGCGCGGGGTGGCGAAAATGGCAGGATGTACGACGATGTACGTTTGGCACGCCATGCAGCGGCAGGGTGAACTGTAGCTGTGTCGTAGGTCCTGGCGTTTCCGGCAGGCTAGTTGCAGGCGATGGACGGGACTTCAACACAATTTTGGCAATGGAGATTCGACAATTTTGGAACGACATGATCGCACGAGGACGTGTGGGTGTGCAGTTGTGTGGGAGCACCTGGGATTAACGACCTCTGCGCTATTCACCACGACGGCCATCTGGAGGTGATGACGCTATGCCGGAGTGAGTGTACTCAGCGAGGGCGACTTCCCGTGTGGGGAGGCGTTTTTCATGGACCAGCGATTCATACCCCCACGATCAACGGAAACGGAGGCCACCACCTCTGGGTGTGTATAAGTGTTTTTCCACCGGTCGCCGAATGCGTTAATTGTCAGGAGCTGAAGAAGTGGGAGAAGAACGAGGGGAGTACTGGAGGAGATGGGTTAGCGGCGTTCGGGCTGCTACTCGCCCAGCTACGTCTCCCGGAAATCACCATTCCCATCAGGTAGCAGTGTCGACTTATTAATCAACAGCTTCTGGCTGAACAAGGGGGGTGGACCTGCGAACTACAATGGACTGTCCCCGAAATTTTCGGAGTTACTGTTGCCGCGGAGCTAAAGGTTTCCCCTGGTGCAGCAGAAGAAGGTTCTGACTTTTGCGGGTGTATTTTGACGAGTTTCCGACGGAGGAGGGAGCTGTCCAGCGGTCAGTAGGCGAGCTCGTTAAAGCTCCTCTGACTAGAAGCGTGCGCACTCCTATCTCTGCGGATTCTCCTAGTTAGTTAAGCAGCAGCGAAGCGGTTCTGGGTAACCTGAAGTAGCCGAGAGATGGGTGAATGTCTACACGACCAGCTCAAAGGGGTACCATAGTATTTTAAAGCTTGGTAACAGCTGGGCGGAGATCGACGGCGTACGATGCGCATTGACCCTGATCGACGGCCAAAACATCATGCCGAGGTGGTGGACTCCGGTAAACCCTAATATAAAGGGTTTAGTTCATGGGTACAGGTGGTGGAGAAACCGTGGGGGCGCTGCTAAAGGACGCCGTGACGCCTGGACATTTTTACGGGTAGCTGTAAAGCGGAGTTACGATATTTGCTAAGTACCGAGTGGTTCCGACATTTTTGGTGGGTTTGAGGAGCAGTTCAAGAGTTTACAGCTGGAGTTGTGCCCGCTATCTTCAAGAGTATGAGCAACATCGACTGACATTTGCGGAGTGTTTTGGTTGTATAGAGCGGAGGGAGAGCAGTAGCAGTTTCGGTTCTTCCCTAATTTCTCGGCGTGTACGGACAAAGAAGCTGATGCATCTGGCGTCATTTCGACCTCGTGTTTGGTTCGAGGTTTTTGAATGGGGCGGGATTCGTATCGGCTACTCTCCATCGTCATCCTCTTACCATCAACCGCTACTGCCTCCATCGTCAATTTGCCTGATTCGCCCGACAGTATGAACACGACCCCGCCGCATCATCGCCACCCATCAGGAGCAGTTTCGAAACGAAACGATTTTGGTAGCAGTACTGTTGGAGCTGTGTTGGGGCCAGCTCGCAAGCCGTGTTTGACTTCTAAAGAATTTTGAGTTCGTGTGACAGTCTTCTAGAGCAATAGTTGTGCAATTTCAAGAACTTCGAAGCGGTTTACCCTAAACAGAATTTACCTTGAGCAGATTTTAGAGTCCTCCTACTTCGCGTTTTTAGTGGCTGGGATTTATTTCGATGGCATCTTCAAAGCAGACTGATGGGGCTTTCATCAGCAGTGTGGATTATTTCGACTACCCTGGAGCATTGGGTTTCCTGGTGTTACAGGATCGAATGACTCGAGGAAAGATTGCACTATCGATCAGTGCAAGGCATTTTTATACTTCCAGAGTACATCAGGTAACCAGGTTTATCTTATCCTAAGGGAATAGACCCTTCTAGAAGATAGAATCACCCTGCGTATAGCCACGCGAGGCTATTGGCTTTAAGGGATTACGGCAAGATTACGCTAGATATAGGGCACCAGTACATCCCAAGCCTGATCGGTGATATAATTATAATAGCAGGATAAACCAAAGGTTAATGGAAAAGGGAGAAGAGGAAACCAAATGAGATGAGATAAAAAGAGAAATGAAATAGGAAGGAAATAAGGAAAGGCCAAGTGGTGTAACGGGGTCGTACTCTTACACTTTCCCCCCTCAAAGCTGGGTGGTAGAAGTAACACCCTGCTTGACAAGGTAGTCATGCAGAGGACGACGTGCGTTACCCATGTCGGACTCAGGTACCCAGCTGTCCTCAGAAGGATCATAACCCTTCCAACGGATGAGAAGCTCCACTGTGCCATTCCGACGACGGCGGTGTGCAAGCACGGACTCGACCTCGTACTCGGGTTTATTCTGGACGAGGACGGGTGGCGGTGGCGGCGGTTGGCGTCCGACAAAGATCGTGTTTGGATCCCGATAGGGCTTCAGAAGTTGGACATGGAAGGCGTTGTGAATCTTCTCGGTAGCTAGCAGGCGTAAGCGGAAGGTAACAGGAGTGACCTGTGCTTCAACGAGAAAAGGCCCGCAGAAGCAAGGTCGAAGTTTAGATGGGAGGTGGCTGATGTCCAGGTTGCGGGTGTCAAGAAGCACCTGGTCTCCCACCGTGATGGTGTGGTCGTTGCGATGGCGATCGGCCTGGCGCTTTTGTTGCTGCTGAATGTCGAGGAGGCGCTCGTGAGTCCGATCCCAAAGCTGATGCATGGTTGTGATGAAATCATGTGCAGGTTGGACTGTAGCGGATGTTGTCGTTTCTTGTGGTGTGAGTGGGTGTCGTCCGTAGCAGAGGAAGAACGGCGTCTGTCCAGTAGCGGCATGTGTAGCGTTGTTGTAAGCAAACTCTAGAACGGGCAGGTGCAAGTCCCATTTGGAGATCTCGTCCTTGCAAGCTGCTCGGAGGAGTTGCTCGACAATCTGGTTGAGGCGCTCGATGTGTCCGTCTGTCTGCGGATGGTAAGCGGATGACATGGCGAGTTTGGTCCCGAGCAGAGACATGATTTCCTTCCAGAACTTGCAGGTGAACTTGGGGTCTCGGTCGGAGATGAGTGTGGTTGGAATGCCATGCTGTGAGATGATATATCGAACGAATAGTTGTGCTGTCTCCTCGGTGCGTGCTGTCGTGTGTGTCGGGATGAAGTGTCCCGTGTTGGAGAACTTGTCGATGACGACAAGGAATGCGTCATGACCGCTGGTGGTAGGTGGTAACCCGGTGATGAAGTCCAGGCTAACCACTTGCCATGGCTGTTCTGGGACAGGAAGAGGCTGTAGTAGTCCCGCTTTCCTCTGTTTGCTGCTCTTCATCCTCTGACATGTATCACACGAGGTGACAAATTTCTGAACATCCTCTGCCAAGTGGGGCCAGTAGTAGTGTTATGCAATACCGATCAGCGTCTTGTTGCTACCGAAGTGTCCGGCGTAGAGGACGTCATGGTATTCTTCGAGTAGTAACTGGCGCAAAGGAGGGTAATTGGGTACCCAGATTTTTGTTGATCCTTTTCGGTACGCGATGTCACTGTCCCACTGTAGCAGATGTCGCTTTTCTGCCAAGGGAATTTCAGGGTCGATGGCGTACCCGTGTGTGAAGAGTCCCTTGAGGAGTGGATTCATCCCTTCGATCTGAATAGCGGCAACGTGTGCAGGCCGGCTGAGGGCTTCTGCTTTGTTTTTGTGGCCGGGCTTGTACACGATGTCATAGTGGAAGTGTGCCTCGAGGAAGTCGATCCACCGGACCTGCCGCCTGGAAAGGTTGGGTTGTGTCTTCAAATATTTCAGGCTGCAGTGGTCGGTGTAGACGGTTGTTCTTCGTCCTTCGAGGTAGCATCTCCACGCTTTGAAGGCGATGACAATAGCCAGGGCCTTTTTGTCGTGTATCGGGTAGTTTAGCTCTGCCCCGTGTAGTTTCTTACTCAGGTAGGCGATTGGTTGCAGTCCATTCCCCTGGTCTTGCATCAAGACTGCTCCCACTGCCTGGGTGCTGGCGTCAGCTTCGATGACATAGTCGCGTTCGGGATTTGGCAAGATGAGTACTGGTGCAGACGTAAGTGCTTGCTTCGGCTGCTCCACGTCTTCCTGGTGCTTCGGCTCCCATTTGTAGGGTGTGTCATTCTTTAGCAGATTCGTGAGTGGTGCTGCGATTTTCGCATACTGTGGCACGAACCTGTTGTAGTAATTAGCGAAGCCTAGGAACTGCTGCAACTCCTTCACATTCTCGGGTGTCTTCCACGTACGTACGGCTTCGATTTTCTTGGGGTCGACGTGAACTCCTTGAGCGCTCACCATGTGTCCTAGAAACTGGACCTTCTCAAGGGCGAATTCGCTCTTGGACAGTTTGACGTAAAATCGTTCTCGTCGAAGAATTTCGAAGACGCGTCGCAGGTGATCGACGTGGTGCTTCATGTCGCGCGAGTAGATGAGGATGTCGTCCAGGTACACCACCACGCATTCGTCCAAAAGTGGTCGTAGAATGTGGTTCATTTCGGCTTGAAATGTTGCCGGTGCGTTGGTGAGTCCGAGTGGCATTACCAAATACTCGTACGATCCATACCGAGTTCGGAAAGCAGTTTTGTGGATGGAGTTGTCCGCCATTCGTATCTGCCAGTATCCGGACCGCAGATCCAATTTGGAAAATACCGTAGCTCCCCGAAGCTGGTCAAGCAGGTCATCGATTCGTCGTATCGGATATTTATTCTTGATGGTCTGCTTGTTAAGAGCTCGGTAGTCAATGGACATGCACAGGCTTCCGTCCGGTTTCGGTGTGAAGAGCACTGGGGCACCGTATGGTGAAGTAGATGGCCGGATGAGTCCTTTGGCTAGGAGATACTCGATCTGTTTTTTCATGTCAGTCAGCTCCGTAGGGCTGAGCCGATATGGTGCTCGGAAGGTCGGCTTCGAACCCGGTTCCTCCACGATCTCGTGTTGATGTGGGCTGGTGTCGGGAGAGGACGTTGACTCCGTGGAAAGGTCGGCTTCTTTCCACACTCCTTAATTTGGTCCCCAAGTTGTCCGGTACCGGTATAATCTCCACAGCTGTCTGCTTCTTTTGGAGTCCCTCCCAAAATTTCTCCAAGGCTCTAGCCCCTTGAACATCATAAGTTTTCATTAAAGCATCTTTATAAGATAACTTTAACGAATTCTTATAATTTCTTGGGTCTTCAAGGAGTTTCCCTGTCTCGGCAGAGTCTTTTTTCGCGGAGTCGTATTTTTCCTCGGCGATTTTCCATAGCGAAGACTGGTCGTGGGGTGGAGATTTTCCCCCATCATTTCCTCCTTCTCGCGTCGAATCAGCTTCGTCGAAGTTGATTTTCCCGGAATCCCGCGGCCGTTTCCGGATCTTTTCTTTTTCGCCAGCTAGATCCGCAATCACTGGCGACTCCCGTTTTTTGTCTTCTGATTGGCCGAAAGATTTCCGCCACTGTTGCGTGCCCGATACTCTACGCGTGCGGCCTTCATTTTGTTGCAGTCGAAGATTCGGTGGCCCGGCACCCCGCAAAAATCACACGTGTAGTTGGTGTTTTTCGGACGTGGCCGCCCCTCGAATCTGTCGACTTCCATCGGGTCGGCGAACGTGGGGTGAGCCGAGCGGTCGCCCTGTTGTATACTGCCGACGTGCGTCCGTCGTGTTCCGGCGTTGACCATGTCGAAGCGCTCCGCTGCCGAAACGACGTCACTGTAGCTTGCGTAGTTTGACGCTGCCACTTGTCGTTTGACTTCGGTCTTCAGCCCGGCGAGGTACGACTGTACTTTTTCCCCTTCGGTCAGGTCGGGAATTCGGTTATAAAATTCTTCCATCTGCTACGTGTACTGCGCTACACTCCCGAACTGTCGATGGCGATGAATTTTTTCCCGGGCAAGGAAACCCGAATTTATCGGCTCGAATCGTTTTAGTAGGTCGGCGCGGAACTGCTGCCACGTGGCTTCACCGTGGATAAAAGTGTTGTTGCCACCAATCCACTCGAGTGCCGGCCCTCGCATCAGTGTCACCGCGAGTCGTACACGTTGACCATCCCAGACTGGCGAGCTCCATCCGTCGGCTGCAAAGTAGATCTCCATCCCGGCGATCCATCTGCGGGCGTCGGAGTTTCGATCGCTCGGATCGAACGGCTCAGGTGGGCGCGGTTTCGGAGCCTCAAGAAACTACTGCGACTGCTGCGTTGTCGCTGTTGTCGAGTCGTGCTGCGCTCCGGCGAGTTGAGTTACTCGCACGAACTCGTTTCGCCACGCTTTGCGATCCGCTCGCATCTCCTCCTGAAGGGCTGCGATGCGCGCGAAGAGCTGTTGGGTAACCTCGGCGTTGTCGAAGGTTGCCATCATGTTCAAAACACGCGCGGGGGGGTGATTCGAAAAAACGTGGAGCTGGTGCTTACCAGAATCGGCGTCGAATTGGTCGCCCCCGGCGGTTTTTCGAGGCAGGTTTTCCCGCTGCTGCTGCTTTGTTGAGCGCGGCCGAGTGAGAGAAGCTCTGATTACCAAGTGTCACAGGATCGAATGACTCGAGGAAAGTTTGCACTATCGATCAGTACAAGGCGCTTTTATACTTCTAGAGTACATCAGGTAACCAGGTTTATCTTATCCTAAGTGAATAGACCCTTCTAGAAGATAGAATCACCCTGCGTATAGCCACGCGAGGCTATTGGCTTTAAGGGATTATGGCAAGATTACGCTAGATATAGCGCACCAGTACATCCCAAGCCTGGTCGGTGATATAATTATAATAGCAGGATAAACCAAATGTTAATGGAAAAGGGAGAAGAGGAAACCAAAAGAGATGAGATAAAAAGAGAAATGAAATAGGAAGGAAATAAGGAAAGGCCAAATGGTGTAACGGGGTCGTACTCTCACACCTGGAGTTTTACCTGGGTGGTTGGGAGCTGTTTCTTCTTGGAGGGGGGAGAAGTGCAGCTGTGCTGCAAATTTTCTGTCTGACCCTTCTGCGTGTTCCATCATCCATCTTCGAGCATTATTCGTCACCGTTATGCTTTTATACCTGGTATCGTCTTTTCGTTGATGGAGTTCGCTGAATTTCGTGGGACATGGACGCGTGCTCTTGCATGTGACTCGAACGACCTCGCGTTTGATGAACGGGTTCTACATTTTATCGACCATCACGTCATTCGGCAGTCATCATGATCATACTGCAACGCGTCATCATTACCCACCCATGCGACAGTTAACTATTCAACAACATCATTCATCTTCATCATTTCGTCACTTGGGAGTTTTCGCCATTGCCCATTCGGTCAGCTGAAGAAGTAGATTATCTTCAACGACTCATATCAATTACGATCGCTGCGACACGCCTTAACCGTTGGATGGAGTTTTACCTCATGAAGTCTCGTCATCATTACTCTCATCAAGATTCAACGATCAGGATCTACCGCGATCGTTTCGATGCTTTCTGACCATCGATTTCAGTTCGACCTGAAGACCTCGTCATGCCGGCGTAATCATTACGCTCGTCACAAGGCTAAAGACTTACAGTCACATCGGGGATAACTTGTAATGACTGTTCGGCCATGATAAAGGGAGTGCCTTCCTTTAGAAAGTGGGAGAGTGTAAGGAATTACGATTCCTTACTGGGGCTCGCCACAGCGAGTACACGCGAACCTCTCGGTTCCGCAGGCTCGGCCCTCAATGTCACAAGAGCTAGGTAGCTAGGAAGCCATGAAATGGCGTGAGGTTTTAGGTGGGCGAGTAAGTTACGAGAGAGAAGAGAGAGAATTGAATAGAAGAGAGAGGGATACAAGAAGGGGGGTTGTACCCTCTACAGTAGGATCCAATAACACCTATCAAGCCTACAATTATATATATATAATATACAATTTAACACACCCCCCAGGCTTGGTAGTCACAAGCCCACCCCACATGCAACACCTCTAAGCCTAGCACCCCCATACCCTGCAGCAGAGGTGACTGCAGGGAAGGAAGGCGCTAGGCCTTCTTGAGCTGCGGCGGGGCGGAGCCAGCTGGCGTGGCGAGCTGGGACCGACGCTGCGAGCTGGGTCTGACGCGGCGAGCAGGGTCCGACACAACGAGCTGGGGAGGAGCGGCGAGCTGGAGTGCGGGCTTGCTGTCTGGTGCCTAAACCAGTGCACGGCCCACTGCCGCCCGCGCGCTGATGCGACGACAGCGGCACGGCAGCATGACGAAGCCACCGCGTCGAGGCTGCCACGTCAGCACGACAAAGCCGCCATGGCAGCACGACACGGCCGCCACAGCGGCGCGGAAGTAATGAGAAGGGAGGGGGGGTGGGGGGTACGCGGCGGAAGCGTGAGGAGGCGGCCCAGCAGGGTGGACCGCCGGCTCTGAAACCATGTCACAAGAGCTAGGTAGCTAGGAAGCCATGAAATGGCGTGAGGTTTTAGGTGGGCGAGTAAGTTACGAGAGAGAAGAGAGAGAATTGAATAGAAGAGAGTGGGATACAAGAAGGGGGGTTGTACCCTCTACAGTAGGATCCGTTAACACCTATCAAGCCTACAATTATATATATATAATATATAATTTAACACTCAAGTCATGCGCCAAACCAGCCCCCGTCGACCTTTTCGACCCCAACCTGATCCCGAGTCGCCCCGAACCCATTTTGACCCTGTCACCCTCGGGACTATCGAGCCCTTGACTAGTCCAACCCTCGACATTCAACCCTGGTCAACACACCTATATATTGTCTAGGCCTCATTTCTATCGACAATCCTGTAATCACTTTCCCCTATAGTATTCTGCACTATACGCTGAGTTATCATTCATAATAGTTTGAGTAACGAGGAAACAATACATGTGAGCAACATCAAAACTGTCAAACATATATGCATATGTTATTATTGTTGTGATAAAATCGTACTTAAAACCACAGGCTAGAATAACACACATGCAGAGCTCTTAAAAAATGTTCGTCTAGGAGCAGACCCTTTGGTGCGTTTTCTATTTCCGAAATCGTATGGGACCCGAAATTGTTTGTAATACGAAGTAGCTTTTCTACGTTATTGGTGCACGACGATTGATTTGGCGGTAGATGCTTGGCGGATCAAGTTGCGACTGACCACTTACACAGCTCAGTTTTTTCAAGAGCTCTATGGGTGTGCAATAGGTTTTTAACCCGAGGTTCAACTCGGTCGCATTTCGCGCAACCCATATGGCTGTTCGGCACACAAGTTCCACAGTTCACCATTACCCTAGTCGCGAGTCGCGGTCGAGGGAGCTTCGCAATGTGAAGCCTAAACACGTACGCCGAATACTTCCAAGGTACAGCAGTTTTTTTCTTTCTTTCTTTCTTTCTTTCTTTCTCGTTACACCAAGCTGGCGAAAAGTCAAATGAGTCGCGCACGCGTTTCCCGCCTCGTCGCACAAGCATCAAATCGGCACCGCTACGTTTCTATCATTGTTCAGCTGCAAAAAAGCGCACCTCGCAAAATCGTACTAGGAAACCCCCCCCCCCCCTTTTTCTTTTTCAAAAGAACCATCTTCAAGAACGGCGTTCTTGAAGCCCCCCCATGCTATTTTAGCCTGTGGTTTTAAGCATTTCTTAAAGTAGTTCCGATAGATATTGTCGATTTATACTGTACCTAGCATCCGTAGAATGACGTCAACAAATATTGCTCGTCTGGATTATTATGCCAGCAGGCCGTTTAAGTCAACCGAACAGTTGCGCCCCTTTCAGTAGCGATTAGAGCGCATTAGCGCAAGTAGTTTTGAGCAGGTACATTACCGAACAGGTACATCTAGCAGATATAAGAGTAGCTTGTATTCTCAAAGAAGCGGAATGATAAAAAAAAACACAGTACACGGTGGTTTTGACCTAAGCACGCCCGTCGGCACCTAGCGTACCGCCGGCCCCCTAGCGCACCTCGCCGGTCCCTAGCGCGTCCGCCGTCCCTTACGCGCCGTGCCGGCCCCTCAGCGCACCGCCGGCCCCTCACGCCTAGCCGGCCCCTGGCGCGCCGTGACGGCCCCTCGCGCCGTGACGGCCTCATGCACCTAGCTGGCCCCTCGCGCCAAGCTGGCCCCTCGCACCTTGCCACCCCCCCCCCTTTTGCCTAGCCGGCCCCTCGCACCTAGCCGGCCCCTCTCGCCTAGCCGGCCCCTCGTGCCGAGCCGTCCCCGCGTGCCTAGCCGGCCCCTCTCGCCTAGCCAGCCCCTCGCGCACCGCCGACCCCTCGCGCCTAGCCGACCCCACGCTGCGCCGTGCCGGCCCCTCGTACCTAGCCAGCCCCTCTCGCGCACCGCTGGCCCCTAATGCCTAGCCGCCCCCTCGCGCGCTTGCTCGGCCCCTCACGCACCTGCCCGACCCACATCGCGCTCGTCGGCCCCTCACGCGCCCGCCGGCCCTTCGCGTGCTCGTCGGCCCCTCACGCACTTGCCATCCCCCTTCGCATGCGCCAGCCCTTCCACGCACCCGCCGGCCCCTCCCGTGCCCTCCGGCCCCTCCCTTGCTCGCCGGCCCTTCGCGTGCGCCGGTCCCTCCCACGCCCGCTCGCCCCTCACGTGCCTCGGGCCCCTCCTCGGCCTTCCGCCCCGTCCTCTCGCCGGGGAGTCCTGCCGCTGTGTCGCCGTCCCACTGTGCCGCCGTGACGCTGTGCTGCGGAGGTTGCACGATGGCGGACGCTGTGCTTCGCCTGGATGCAGAGGGACATGCGATTGACTTCGCCGCCCGGCTTGTCGATCTCCGCCGTCACTTGACAGGTCAGCACCAGGATGGGCAATCCCTGGCTATGCATATTGATGGCTTGCTTCCCTGCCCCTCTGCGCCTGATCCCCTCCCTACTGACCCCACGACTGCAGAGAGTGAGGCCTTCGGTGCTGCTGCGCTCGCTCGCGCTGTTTGGGACTCACGCGATGTTGTAGCGAAGCTTGCCATTAGCCATGCGCTTCACTGCTGTCGTGAACGCCAAGGATTTCCTAGATACCGTAGTTGCGCGCTACTCCACATCTGCCTCTGCCTCCGCTGGCCGCTTGATCCTCCCCATGCTATTCCCCGATCTTTCCGCTTTCCCCGCTGTCGCTGACCTCGCTACTCACCTCCGTGCACAAGAGACTAGCTACCGTGCTGCTAGCACTACCGCCCAGCTCACGGTCTTCCCCTCGCCATTCTGCACTACCTTGTACTTTATTGTCATGCACCTGCCTGACCGCTTAGCCACTGCCCGTGACCACTTCCTTAGCCAGCACCCTGGTGACCTCACCATGACCGTCTTTGTCACTGCCCTCTCTGAGATAGAGACTCGCCAGCGCACTATCGCCTAGTCGAGCGGTGTTGCCGCGGTCCCTATCTTTCAGGGCTGTGCTCCCTCCTAGTGCACGAACGCTAACGTTTCCACCGCCGTTGCTATAGCTGCTGCTGCCACTGAGACCGCAGCGGCGGCCTTCCTGGAGCAGCACCGACAGCGTCGTGGCTGCCGCGGCCCCAAGGGAGGGCGTTGTGGTGGTGCTGGTGATGGAGGTGGTGGTGGCGGAGACAGTGGTTTTGACGAGGGGGCTGGGGCAGGTGTCCAGGAGCAGCAGTAGCCACAGCAGACGCAGTCGCAGTAGCAGCAGCAGCCTTGGGCCTGCCTCCCGCCGGGGTGGCCAGGAGCCCCTGGAGTTGGTGGCCGCGGTGGTGATCCTCGCAGCTCGGCGTCTACTGGCGGCTTCGGTGTTGTGGGCTGCCAGTACCAGCTCCAGACCGGGCCCCTCCGTGGTACTGTGTGCCGTTGCCCGCACCCGACCGCCCGCTGCTTCCGCCGCCTCCCTGACTAGCCCAGTCTGTTGTGCCACGGTGTGCCCGTTTTTGCCTTAGACATGGATCAGATTAGTTATTCCCTGCATTCTCTGTATGCTGGTGCTTCTTGTGTGCCCGGATCTTATTACCCTGTGTTCTCTAGCTTAGGCGTAGCACCTGTGTGTAGTACAGACTTCCTTGCTCCATCAGGCGTAGGACCGTTTGCTTTGTCTAGCATGGGCTCTACCCTTGCTCCTCCTTCGTCCGTCGCTACTGCTTTGATGTCTTTCACACTTGACTCCGGTGCGTCTGCCTGCTTCTTCCACAACCACGCTGCGCTTACGCGGCTTGCCGCACCTGCTGCTGTCGCACTTGCTGACCCTTCTTCTGGTCCTGTAGTTGCTCGCAGCAACACTACCCTTCCCTGCCTAGCGGTTCCCTCGGGTTCCCTTACAGGCCTGCACATCCCCTCGTTCTCCCGGAACTTAGTTGGTGTCGGCTGTCTTCAGGACCTTGGCGTCACCACTACGTTTCCGGGTCACGAGCGGTACGCCTTCTGTACCGAGGTCGCCTCAGGTTCTCCCCTTGCGACGTTCCCCCAGGACCCGGTGTCTGGTCTCTTTATAGTGGACACTGCTTCCCCCCTCCGGTGGACCGTCCTCTCCGGGTCCTGCGTCTACCCAGGTCGCCGCTGCATGCTCGTGTGAGTCACTTACTCTCCCGCCTAGGTCACCTCCTAGGTCACCTCGCACTCCCGCGTTTGCATCACATGTCACAGCACGGTCTCGTCCTAGGCCTCCCTGCATCACTTCCTGCCATCCCTCCCTCGCCTGCGCCGCCGTGCACGCCCTGCGTCGAGGTTCGGTTACGCCGTGCTCCTCACTCCTCCTCGCTTTGTCCGGCCACCGCACCCCTCCAGACCCTGCACCTGGACGTCTGGGGTCCAGCCCCCGTCACTGGTCCGCATTGCGAGCGCTACTTTATCGTGCTCACTGACGACTACACGCGCTACAGCACGCTGCTTCCCTTGGAGCGGAAGGGCGACGTGCTTGACGTTTACATCCCGTGAGTCGTAGCTGCACACCTCCACCGCGGTCTCCCTTGCTGTGTCTCCACTCCGACCGTGGCGGGGAGTTCGCCTCTGGTCGGCTTGGACAGTTCTGCCGTGCGGAGGGCATCACCCAGTCGTACACCCTACCAGACTCCCCGCAGCAGAATGGGGTCGCTGAGCGATGCATCGGTTTGGTCATAGAGGTGGCTCGTACCTCCATGATTCATGCCGGTTCACCCCATTTTCTATGGCCGTTCGCCGTTCGCTATACTGCTCACCAGCTTAACCTCTGGCCGCGCTCCCAGCGGCCGCAGGTTTCGCTGACCCTTCTTTGGACCGGGTTCCCTGGTGATGCGTCTAGCAAGTGAGGAGCAACAGGAACCAGACCAAGCTGCAAACAGTGCCGCTGATGATCTTTAGGCGCAAGCGCGTTAGTAAAGATATCAGCTGTGTGGGAGATCTCGTACTACTCGATACTCGCAATTTGCGTTTGCCGATCACGAGCAAAATCCGACCCTGATTCTGTGGCCCCTTTCAAGTGACCAAAATGGTGACACCTGTCACTGCTCACCTTTGACTGCGGGAAGATTGGCGTCACCACTCGGCTTTCCACGTCAGCCTACTACGGCCCTACGTCCCCAGTTCATCGGACTTGGCACGTCAGCGCATCATGCCGCAGCTAACGCCCTTGCAGGAACCGACGACCGAGCCTCTAAAGATTCTAGGCCATCGAGTTACAACGCAGCAGAACCGTCGAATGGTGGATTTTCTCGTCAGATGGCGTGATCGATCATCTGAGGATGACATTTGGGTAACCCTTGCTGATATAGAATCACACCCGATTGTAACAGCGTATTATCAGCGTCGGAATGTTTCCGATGCCTGCGGCCTCCTTTAAGGGGGGGGGGGGGAGGGGAAGGGGGGGTGGTGTAAGGAATTTCTATTCCTAACTGAGTCGTACGCTAGCGCGTAGACCCGAACTCCTCGATTTGTTACGTTCGGCCTCATTTGTCGGCCCAACCATTTCCCGAGTCGCGTCCGGCACTGTCGCCACATTGCCGAACCTAACCACGTTCCGAGGTTATCGCCCTAGCACGCCAACCCCTATATGACCTGGTGCCTTCATTGCAATAGCGACCTTGTATTCTCACGTTTTATTTCATTGTCACTTTCTATATCATAACACATGTAGTGACCTTGTGATATGGAGATTCGAAATAAAGAGTCTGCTTCAACCGAGTGTCGCACTTCTGAAGGCAGCGTGATCCAACAATGGGCTACTTGTCAGTCAAACCTCTGTTTGGGGGAAATTGGTGGTCGCCGATAAATGGCACGTCAGCGCGCTGCATTTTTTTCCGGGCGCGCAATGACATCCGTATCATGTGGTCCGTGTGGAATGTGTCCACGACAATGCCTTCCGAGGCGGGCAGCTCCACTGCGCTTTTGGGCCCAGTCGCCCTTCTCTCGCAAACCCAGCGAACCCTGTGGTAACCAAAAGGTTCGCAACTCCAAGGCCTGCGATGTCGGTTGCACTCCCAGCTTGCGGGATTTATGGGGCCAAAATCTCGCCATGGCCAGCTCGACAAGGCGCCGCGTGAGAATCCGAGTGAGGTCCAGCGCAGACTGTACCGAAGCCTTTGAACCAACCATTCCACACGAGTGTCGTAACTCTCCCAGTGGCGGGCTTCGCGGGCAGCTTCACCATAGACCTGCCCGAAACCACCCCCTCTGCTTCCTTCATCCAATCATCGTCCAATCAGCCACCTCGGGCCCCTCCGAAGCAGACCCGGAAATTCTTCCCTGCCATTACACTCCCTCGTCCAACCAACCCCCTCGTCATCAGGCAAATTCCCCAGCTTAGGGAAACGGCCTGCTGGGGGTGTTGCTGCTTCTGGTGTGTGGGGTGTGGTGGTTCTGCTTGATACAAGAAACCCGAGGAGTCTACCTAGAGTCTAACTGTGATCTCTCAGGTTGTTGAGATAAAGGAAGTAGAAGTTCGCTAGCTTCTGACGCTGCTCTGGGATTGCAGCTGCCACTAGTAGCAGTCCGTGATGGCGGCCTCAGCCTCCCTCTCGATGGCGTCTCGCGCGGCCTTCGTTGCCAAGGTGTGTGAACGGAAATCTCTCGCAATGCATAGTATTGGACTGCTCGTGATCACTGATGTTGGTCTAACCGTTCTCCCCTACCACATGCCCATCAACCGCCTGGTGCAGGCCAATGACGCTCTCAAGCTCGGGAGTCCAGGTCAGTAGCGATTGTCAATTTCGATTCTTTTCATCAGCATGACAAAAGCAGCTATGTTGTTCGCCTACTCCTTGTGCTGTTCACCTATGTTGTTCGCCTACTCCTTGTGCTGTTCACCTATGTTGTTCGCCTACTCCTTGTGCTGTTCACCTATGTTGTTCGCCTACTTCTGGCTGACAGCGGCTTGTGCTTGTTCTTGCAGTTGCTGCTCAGAGCGCTCCCTTCCTGCCTCTCCGATCTCGCACCCACAATCTGGTACTACTCCCACCCTGGCCTCCCTTCCGCCTTTGTATTCTCAAAGGAGCAACAACAACACGACTAGGAGAGGTTCGCCGCTAACCTGTAGTTCCCTTGTGAACTCTCTGGCCGTGCAGAGGAAGCCTTCCGTTGGCCTGAAGCCCAAGGCCTGCAGGCTAGTGAAGACCTCAGCAGCCGTCGCCGCTCCCGTCTCCAGCCCTCTCTCGGATCCCCAAGAGAGGGAGCGACTGGCTGAGGAGTATGGCTTCCGACAGATCGGCGAGCCGATGCCCGACGATATCACTCTCAAGCAAGTCATCGACTCGATCCCGGCCGAGGTAAGCTTGGCTCGCTTGGATCATGCTACTGATGCCTCGCTTTATGTTTTTTTCCGTGTACCGCCTGGTTTTGACGTGGATGACACGAAACGTTGGATGGATTATGTTGTATTGAAAGGTTTTTATGAATACTGGAATTGTACCTGCAGGCGTTTGAGATCAACGAGTGGAAGGCGTGGAAGACGGTTTTCCTAACCCTCGCCGCCATGGCGATTGGAGAGGTGGCGATCTACTATTCGCCGTGGTATCTTCTGCCGCTCGCCTGGGCCTGGACCGGCACCGCCTTCACCGGGGTAAGTGCTGCGCTTTCACTCCCTTAGGGTCATCGCAACTCACGTTGAGGAGTTCGACTGTCCGCTTCCGTCTAAGAGCGTGATTCAACGTGATCATGCATGAATCACGTGATCGCATATCCATCGCTGTTCCGTTCAGCTATGCATGATCGTGCATAACGTGATTCAAATTTCATACTTGTGAAATATTTCTGTCCCGCAGTTCTTCGTGGTTGGTCACGACTGCGCGCACAAGGCGTTTTCGAAGAACAAGCTGGTGGAGGACATCGTGGGCACCGTCATGATGGCGCCGCTCATCTACCCGTACGAGCCCTGGAGATTCAAGCACGACCGCCACCACGCCAAGACCAACATGTGAGTCAGCTCGCTTCGCTCGCACTGGGTTGACTAGTGCAGGACTCCGCTCATTCTGAGTCCGACTGGTGCTCGCTCCGCTCATCCATACACCGAATTGTGTTTCGATTATCCTTTTATCCAGGCTGGTGGAGGACACGGCGTGGCATCCCATGATCCCGGGCATGTACAAGAGGATGAGCCCCGTCGGCCGCGCACTCATGCAGACGTTTATGGGCCCGCTCCGATTCCTCGCCTCCATCGGTCACTGGTAAGCAACGAGCATGGATGAGCAACGAGCATGGATGATCACAGAGCTTGATGCTTTCACTTAGCTTTAACGGGTTTTCTTAGGAAATGAGCAGAGAAGCAAGAACTTGCGAGTTAGTCTGCAAAATATTAGAATTTTACAAACCAGCCAGGCGCGGCGCGAAAATAAGATTGGTTTCTGTGGTGGATGGATGTTTCGTGTGCAGGTGGATTTACCACTTCGACCTAGAGAAGTTCCGGCCAAGCGAGGTGCCACGTGTCAAGGTGTCGCTCGCCGCTGTCACTGCCTTCGCGGTGATTGGCTTCCCTCTCATCATCGCCAACTTCGGCATCGACGGCTGGTTCAAGCTCTGGCTCATGCCGTGGCTCGGCTTCCACTTCTGGGTGAGTTGCGCTTTTCACGTCTGAACACTGTTCTAAGGTACTTGTGATTTTTATTCTGTTTCAAGACACGAAGCTCGTACAGACAGTTGGGAAGGCCAGTTACTTATAATGGATACTTATCCGTCATGGTTCTCTCTCTTTCACGTATGGCTCTACTGTGTGTCGTGTGGTGATGCAGATGAGCACCTTCACCATGGTGCACCACACCGCTCCCCACATCCCTTTTAAGAAGCAATCCGAGTGGAACGCTGCCCAAGCTCAACTCGGCGGCACTGTGCACTGCGACTACCCGTCCTGGTACGTGAAAGTGGTGAATTGTATTATCGATGGGAAATGTAACCTCAAGTGAAGGGAAACCGTAATATCTCATTTTGGTTATGTGGCTTGGTTTCTGCTTTTTAATTGATGCAGAATTGCGCGTTCATTCTCCCCTGTCTCCACCCCTCCCTCGCAATGTGCAGGATTGAGGTTCTGTGCCACGACATCAACGTGCACATCCCTCACCACGTGTCCCAAAAGATCCCCTCCTACAACCTGCGGCTGGCCAATGATTCACTCAGGAAGAACTGGGGCAAGGTGAGCCTAGGTCCTTAGCTGCATGCCTTTTGAAAACAGGAATGGTCGTTATAAACTGACATGTTCTTTTGAGGGGTGGCTTGTGTTTCGGGGTTGGGGATATGCATCTTGAGTCTAGTGTGTTACTTGATATCTCCATATCTACATCTCTCACCTGTCCAACACCTCATGTATGCACCTCCACACCTTGCTCCTCTTAACACCTATGGGTTCTCTCTCCATGCGTGCAGTACATGAATGAGGCATCGTGGAACTGGAGGCTGATGAAGAACATCTTCGTGGAGTGCCATGTCTTCGATAAAGAGAAGAACTACATTCCCTTTGATGCTCTTGAGAAGAGCGAGTCTCCAATCCTTGGCGCCACCAGGAAAATCATGCCCAACACTTACACTAAGGGCCAGTGAACATAGTTCTGGGAGGGGATTTGTTTGAGGATGGGTTAGTCAGTAGTTCCCACATGGAAGCAGAAGTACAGTGCGCTGTCTGCTGCGCTTAATGATAAACATGTGGGGAGTAAGATGTCCTTGCATATGATTTCTAATGCAATGGACGATTTTTCACAACTGTTTCTGTGGAAAAGCTGTTGGGCAATTAACAACATGTCAAACATGTGTATTTGTCATGTTTGTATAGACTGTATAGGGTCACCTCTTAGAGAGTACAACACTTAGGTATATCTTTGTGTACTCCCACTCTATCTATTATTCAATTTTCAATTCTGATATGGTATCACGCGTAGGTAGGATCCCCCCCCCACCTATCGCTTCCACTCACCCCGCTAGCCCCTAGCCCAGTCGCGACCCCCCCTAGCCCCGTCGCGCCCCTCACTGGGCCCTGTCGCGCCCCTCCCAGGCCCCCTGGCGCCCTTCCTGGGCTTCGTAGCGCCCCTCCTGGGCCCCGTAGCGCCCCTCCCAGGCCCCGTCGCGCCCCTCCCAGGCCCCGTCGCGCCCCTCCCAGGCCCCCTAGCGCCCCTCCTGGGCCCCGTCGCGCTCCTCCCAGGCCCCGTAGCGCCCCTCCTGGGCCTCGTCGCGCTCCTCCCAGGCCCCGTCGCGCCCCTCCCAGCCTCCGTAGCGCCCCTCCCAGGCCCCGTCGCGCCCCTCCCAGGCCCCCTAGCGCCCCTCCTGGGCCCCGTCGCGCTCCTCCCAGGCCCCGTAGCGCCCCTCCTGGGCCCCGTAGCGCCCCTCCTGGGCCTCGTCGCGCTCCTCCCAGGCCCCGTCGCGCCCCTCCCAGGCTCCGTAGCGCCCCTACTGGGCCCCGTCGCGCCCCTCCTGGGCCCCGTAGCGCCCCTCCTGGGCCCCGTCGCGCCCTCCCTGGGCCCTGTACCGCCCCTCCTGGGCCCCGTCGCGCCCCTCCCAGGCCCCGTCGCGCCCCTACTAGGCCCCTTAGCGCCCCTCCTGGGCCCCGTCGCGCCCCTCCTGGGCTTCGTAGCGCCCCTCCTGGGCCCGGTTGCGCCCCTCCTGGGCCCCTGTAGCGCCTCTCCTGGGCCCCCCGTCGTGCCCCTCCTGGGCCCCGTGGCGCCCCTCCTGGGCCGCGTCGTACCCCCCCCCCGGTCCCGTCGCCCCTGCCCGACCCCGTCGCCGCCGCCCGGCCCCGTCGCGCCCGCCCGGCGCCGTCGCACCCGCCCGGCCCCGTCGCGCCCGCCCGGCCCCGTCGCAGCCGCCTGGCCCCGTCGCACGCTGCCCGGCCCCGTCGCAGCCGCCCGGCCCCGTCGCACCCGCCCGGCCCCGTCGCATCCTGCCCGGCCCCGTCGCAGCCGCCCGGCCCCGTCGCACCCGCCCGGCCGCCGTCCCGCTCGCCCGGCCCCGTCGCACCGGCCCGGCCCTGCCGCACCCGCCCGGCCCCGTCGCCCCAGCCCGGCCCCGTCGCGCCCGCTCGGCCCCGTCGCCCCGTCCCGGCCCTGTCGCACCAGCCCGGCCCCGTCGCGCCCGCCTGGCCCCGTCGGGCCAGCTCCGGCCCCGTCCTCCTCACTGGTACGGTTCCCCCCCACCCCGCCCTGCTCCGTGCCGCCTCGCATCACACTGTACTGCCTGGCACCGCACTACACCGCACTGCACCGCACTGCACCGCACTGCACCGCACTGCACTGCACTGCACCGCACTGCACCGCACTGTACCGCACTGTACCGCACTGCACCGCACCCCACCTAGCTGCACTGCCCTGCACCGCACTGGACTGTTCCTGATGGCGGCGGAGCTTCGCTTCGACGCTGAAGGTCAGCCCCTAGAGTTCAAGGCGTGGCTTGCCGACCTCCGCCGCCAACTCACTGGCCAGCGGCAGGATGGTGAACCGCTTTCCGCACACCTTGACGGTACGCTCCCCTGCCCAGACCCCCCTGCTATTCTGCCCGCTGACCCCACACCCACTGAGCGTGAGTCTACTGCTGCCACTGCCCGTGCGCGCTCTGTCTGGCTTTCTCGCGATGCTGTCGCCCAGCTTGCCATTAGCAACGCCCTCCCCCCATCCGAGCGTCCTCGCTTTAGGTCCCTCACTACTGCTCAGGCATACTTAGATGCTGTGATCAAGTGCTATTCCACCCCTCCGGCTGCCTCGGTGGGCCGCCTGATCCTCCCGATGCTCTTTCCTGACCTTGCTTCTTTCCCCACTGTCTCTGACCTCGCTACCCACCTGCGCTCGATAGAGGAGACCTGGCGCGCCGCCTGCACTGACGCACAGCTTAGAGCCCACCAGCCGCCCATTACCTCTACCCTCTACCTGCTTGCCACCCGCCTCCCTGACCGCCTTGCTGTCGCCCGCGACCATTTCCTTAGCATTCACCCCGCCGATCTCACCCTCACTGACTTTATAGACACCCTAACTGTGATAGAGACCCGTCACCGCTCCATCGCCCAGGCGAGCGGTGTCGTGCCGGTCCCTATCTTTCAGGGTTGTGCCCCCGCCCAGTGTACCTTCTCCGACGGCTCTGTTGCAGTGGCTGAGACCGCTGCTGCAGCGCAGTCTCGTTCGGGGAAGGGCCGCCGCCCCAAGGTTGGGCGCGGCGGAGGCGGGGGTGCGGGAGGGGGTAGTGGTGGGGTCGGGTCGTCTGGTGCTGGAGCGGACGAGGGGACCCTGCCCAGTCCGGCTGAGCTGCCGCCCCTGCAGTTGCAGCAGCCGCAGCAGCCGCCGCAGTCGCAGCCTTCGCCGCAGCCGCAGCAGCCGTCGCAGACGCGGCAGCCGAGTGTCCTCCCGCCCGGGTGGCCTGGCGCTGGCGGTGGCCGGGCGCGTGCTGGTGTGCCGAGTGGTAGCTCTGGTGGCGGGTGCTGTCAGTACCAGATCCAGACCGGTCCTCGCCGCGGCTTCGTTTGCGGTAAGATCGGTCACTCCACTCCCCGCTGTTTTCGTCGCCTGGACGACCTCTTTCGTCAGCGCTTCGGCCCGTCGCCAGACCTCCCGGACTGGCACAGTTTGCTTAGTCGTAAGATTCAGATCTTTGATATGGACATGGATGCCATTGTTTCTGCTCTGCATGTGATGTATGCTGATGACTCTAGTGTGCTTCCAGCTTATTACTCACTGTTGCCTAGTGTAGGTGTGCCTAGAGCAGCCTCCCCTGCTGCGTCAGGCGTAGGATCCTCTGCTTTGTGTAGTCTTGGTGCTTCCGCCGTCTTTCCGTCGCCAGACGCCTCTGCTTCGCTTTCCTTCACCTTGGACTCTGGCGCTTCTCGGTGTTTCTTCCGCGACTCCACCACCCTGACGCCGCTTCCTGTTCCTGCTGCCGTTTCTCTTGCTGACCCCTCCGGCGGTCCGGTAGTCGCCCGCAGTTCCACCACCCTTCCCTGCCCGGCGGTTCCTTCGGGCTCTCTTACAGGTCTGCATATCCCCTCGTTCTCCAGGAACCTAGTTGGTGTCGGCTGCCTCCAGGACCTTGGCGTCACCACTACGTTCCCTGGTCACGAGCGGTATGCTGTCTGTACCGAGGCCGCCACCGGTGCCCCCCTGTCCACGTTCCCCCGGGACCCGGTGTCTGGCCTGTTCACTCTGGACACCGTGACCCCCCCGGCTGGGGCGCTCCCTCAGGTGGCTGCGTCTACTCAGCTTGCTGCTGCCTGCTCCTATCGGTCCCTCACTCACCCGACGCTCCTCTGGCACCACCGCCTAGGTCACCCTGCGCTCCCAGGTCTGCGTCACATGTCCCAGCACGGTCTTGTCCTTGGTCTTCCAGGTTCTCTCCCCGCGTTTCCCTCCTCCCCAGCCCCCCCTTGCACGCCTTGTGTCGAGGGTCGGCTTCGCCGTGCCCCTCACTCCTCCTCGTTTCCCCCTACCTCTGCGCCGCTGCAGACCCTGCACCTGGACGTCTGGGGCCCCGCCCCTGTCCCTGGGCCGCGTCGAGAGCGCTACTTCCTTGTGCTCGTCGACGACTTCACTTGTTACACCACAGTCTTTCCCCTGGAGCGCAAGGCCGACGTGCCTGGCGCTCTCATCCCCTGGCTTGTCTCTGCGCGTGTCCACCACGGTCTCCCTGTCCTGCGTCTTCACTCAGACCGTGGTGGCGAGTTTGCCTCAGGTGTCCTTGGTCGCTTCTGTCGTGCGGAGGGCATCACCCAGACGTTCACCCTACCGGACTCCCCACAGCAGAATGGGGTCGCTGAGCGACGCATCGGTTTGGTCATGGAGGTGGCTCGCACCTCCATGATCCATGCCGGTGCACCCCATTTTCTGTGGCCGTTCGCTGTGCGCTACGCTTCTCACCAGCTTAACTTGTGGCCGCACCCTCAGCAGTCGCAGGTTTCGCCGACCCGTCTTTGGACTGGGTCTCCTGGTGACGCGTCTGCGTTCCACGTCTGGGGCTGCCTTGCTCACGTCCGTGCCTCTGGCACGGACAAGCTCACTGCCCGCACCCTTCCCTGCGTCTTCCTCGGTTTTCCCCTTGACGCGTCCGACTGGCACTTTTACCACCCGCCGTCTCACCGCTTCTTTCACTCTCGTGACGTCACCTTTGACGAGTCCGTCTCCTACTACCGCCGCTTCCCCCACCGTGGTCCCCCGGTTACCCCCCCCTGTTCCTGGTCACCCCTTCCCCGGTAGTCCCTGCCCCTCCTCCTCCTCCTCCCCGTCCCGCCCCCTCTGGTGTCTCCCATGTCACCCCCCTTCCGTCCGTGGACCCGGTTGAGGAGTCTTCTGACTCTGGTGGCCCTCCGGTGCAGTCCTCGCCGGCCGCCCCTCCCCAGGTGTCCCCTCCCCAGTCCCCTCCTCCGCCGTCCTTGCCGCCACTGCAGCCGTCGCCGTCGCCGCCGCCGCCGCAGTCGCATCCCCCGTTCGCTGACTCTGGGGGTGCTCGTCCCGGTTGCCCTGAGGGTGGTCCCTCTGGGGGTGCGGGTGTGGAGCGTGCCGGTGGTCGCCGAGGAGCAGCTTGCGGTCCAGGTGTCGCCGTTGTGCTGCCGCAGCAGCAGTCCTCGCCGGTGTCCGCCCTTCGCCTGCTCGGCCTTCCGTTCCCCGACCCTGCGTCGGTTCCTCCCCCACCGTCTCCTCCTCTTCCTGTCTACGGCCCTGTTTTTCCTCCGCCGGACTCGTCCCCGGCTCGTCTCCCCCCTCGTTCCCCTCCTGTGTCCCCTCCCCTGTCTCCTGACCCGACTCCTCCGTCGCACGTCTGGTCTCACCGCCCCTCCCGTGCTCGTCCTGCCTCGCCTGTCTTGCGCTCCCACCCTATGTTGCTTCGTTCCCACGCGTCTCGCCCTCCCCTTCTGCCGTCGCCTCCTCCGTCCTCCCTTGTTGTTGCACCCCCCCCGCTGTCTGACTACCTTCGTGCCGCTCGTCCTCTTGTTCCTCGGGTCCTTGCCTCTCTCGTTACCGACCCGTCTGTTCCGGTCCCGTGCCTTGACACTCTTGTCGCTGCTGTCGCTGACTTCGCCTCTACCCGCCGCCTTGACTACGCCACCGCTCTGGTCTCTGACCCTGCCTGTCCTCCGTCTGTCGGGGGTGCTCCTGCCCTTGGCAGTGACGTCCTGGAGGACCGCCAGTTCGAGCTTGCTTTCCTCTCCGAGGCTGCTCCCCATCTCTGTTCCATGCTGCTAGTCCCTGAGGGTGACCCAGACGCTTTCGACATCCCGACCCCTCGCACTTACGCTGAGGCGACCTCGGGACCCTAGGCCTCACAGTGGATAGCTGCCATGGAGCAGGAGATGGCATCTTGGAGATCCACCGGCACCTTCGTCGACGCAGTTCCCCCGCCTGGGGTGAACGTAGTCGATGGCCGCTGGCTCTTCAAGGTGAAGCGCCCTCCTGGAGAGCCGCCGGTCTTCAAGGCGCGCTATATGGCTAGAGGCTTTAGTCAGCGCGAGGGGGTGGACTTCTTCCAGACCTTCGCTCCGACCCCGAAGATGACTACTCTTCGGGTTTTGTTACACCTAGCGGCTCAGCGTGACTACGAGCTTCACTCCCTCGACTTCTCCACTGCCTTCCTTCAGGGTAGCCTAGACGAGCAGGTCTACCTGCGTCGCCCTTCGGGCTTTACTGGCACCTTCCCTCCTGGTACCCAGTGGCTCCTGCGGCGCCCCGTCTACGGCCTGCGCCAGGCTCCTCGTGAGTGGCACGACACTCTTCGTGCTACCCTTGCTGACCTGCAGTTCTTTCCGTCTTCCGCAGACCCTTCACTCTTCGTTCGTGCTGGCCAGAATCCGTTCTACATCCTTGTTTACGTCGACGACCTGGTCTTTGCCACAGCAGACAGGGACGCACTGGCCTCCGTGAAGGCAGAGCTTCTGAAGAGACACACGTGCACTGACCTTGGAGAACTGCGCCGTTACCTTGGCTTGCAGATCTCCAGGGACAGAGCTGCGCGCACCATCACCCTGACTCAGTCACACTTGGTGTGCCAGGTCCTTCAGAGGTTCAGCCTTCAGTTCTCCTCTGCACAGCCCACCCCTCTGCCTGTAGACCACAGACTCTCCGCTCCAGTGTCTGAGGAGTTGGTAGAGCCCAGCGGTCCCTAAGCAGAGCTGGTGGGTTGCCTCATGTACCTGATGACTTGCACTCGCCCAGATCTCGCATACCCTCTCAGCATCCTGGCTCGCTTTGTGGCCACAGGCAGACACCGACCGCAGCACTGGTCTGCCGCTAAGAGGGTTCTGCGTTATCTTGCTAGTACATCGGGCATGGGGTTAGTGCTAGGAGGACGCAGGCCAGTGGTCCTTACTGGACACACAGACGCTTCGTGGGCAGACGACGCTGAGACGCTCAGGTCGTCGCAGGGCTACTGCTTCAGCCTTGGCTCAGCTGCCGTCTCGTGGAGAGCTACCCGCTCCTCGTCTGTAGCGCAGTCCAGCTGTGAGGCCGAGATCTACGCAGGTGCCATGGCGGCATAGGAGCTCCGCTGGCTGACCTTCTTGCTCACTGACTTAGGTGAGCGGCCTAGCTCTGCCCCGGTCCTGTTCGCTGACAACAGGGCCATGATCCTCCTGTGTCAGGAGCCTCGACTCGAGGGCAGAGCGAAGCACATTCAGCTGCGGTACTTCCTCCAGCGTGAGCTACAGCAGCGACGTCAGGCTCGCGTAGTACACTTGGCCTCAGGTGCCAACACGGCTGATATCTTTACGAAGGCGCTTGCGCCTAAAGATCATCAGCGGCACTGTGTACAGCTTGGTCTAGTTCCTGTAGCCTCTCACTTGCTAGGACCTTGACTTTGTACTGTCCTTTATACGTATACTCAGACTGGACTTGTGTCCTCTCGCAGTGGCTGGACTAGTAGTGCCGCCCTGCCCTTGTTCTTGCCTTGTTTGTACTCCTTCTGACTGGTCTCTTAGACCCTTGTCTCAGAGGTTGGACTAGTAGTGCCGCCCTGAGCTGTTTGTTTAGGGCATTCCCCTATGCAGTCTAGGGGGTGTGTCAAACATGTGTATTTGTCATGTTTGTATAGACTGTATAGGGTCGCCTCTTAGAGAGTACAACACTTAGGTATATCTTTGTGTACTCCCACTCTATCTATTATTCAATTTTCAATTCTGATACAACATTCTTGGCAGACAAAGCAGTGGACATCAACATTGCACATAACATAGTTAAATAAAGCAGACCATTCTGCACTCAACCTTTATCCTCCACGAAGCATGTGCTCCTAGAACCTAGAATGAGACTCTCGTCTTATCAGACCCAAGTTGCACCAGATTTTACCATATTAATCCAACTCGTGTCATACCTGCACTCTACAGTGCTGTGGGCGTTTGATAGGGGTTGGTTGGGTCTGATAAGAAGCGTAGAAACATGCCCTAACACTATTCAACACTGCCAGCTACTGCTGTTTGCCCTGAATACACACAATCAGCGCTGAATTTGAAGCACAACCTAACTACGTTTGACAGTCACCACTCCAGAATTGATACACTACTGATTCGCTTGGCTTGGTTTTGCCACCCACACCTGCTTCTGTTAGAATCACAGGACAGTGGAATTTGGTTCCAAAAACAAAAAGAAGGGGAGGGAGGGGAGACAAAGTGGGGAAGTGGGAAGGGAGGAGAGAGTGGGAGGAAGAGGGAGACGAAGGGAGCCGTGCATGCATGCAACGCTGAGAGACACGCAAGGGAACGAGATATGGCTTTGAGGGTGGGGGACAAGATTGGAGCAGCAGGTGTGGGAGGGGGGAAGGTGGGGAGGAGGAGGCGGAGAGACATGAAGTGGGGTGGAAATACATACCTGACTCTCGTTTCCGGCTGAGCCTGCTCCACTGTATCCCCTTCCTCCCCCTCCCCCATAGCCCCCCCGCCGCCCTCCCCCTCTCCCCCTCTCACTCACTCGCCCTGCAGTGTTCACATAGAAGCATGGGGTGGAATGTGGGAGAGGGGCAAGTGATGAGAGAACTTTTGAGACGACTTCTGAGGTGCCTCAAAAGTCGACCTGCAGTGTTCACACAGAGGCATGGGGTGGAATGAGGCAGAGGGGCAAGTGATGAGACGACTTCTGAGACGACTTTCAATGCGTCTTTTGATGCGTATTTTAAGGCGTCTTTTGAGGCGTCTTTTGAGGCGTATTTTGAGGCGTCTTTTGAGGTGCCTCACAAGTCGACCTGAAGAGTTCACACAGAAGCATGGGGTGGGATGTGGGAGGGAGAGGGGCAAGTGATTCGCTTTCAGACATTTCAGCAGTAGGTCTTGCACCCCCCACTCTCGTCCTGCATCCATACACACAGAAGCATGGGATGGGATGTGAGAAGGTTTCTGAGATGTCTGGATTCACGCACTCTGATTCGAATAACAGAAGAGAATTCAGATGCTTATAACGGGTGTGGGCATACCTCCTCTGCCATAGTCAGTGCCGCCCCTCCCTCTTCCCCCATAGCCCCCAGCTACCCCACCCCCTCTGCTGGCCCCAACGCCTCCTGCCGCTGAATTAACCGCAGCTGTGCCTGGTTGGGGTGCTGCTCCTTGTGGCGCTGCTGCCCCTGCTGCCACCGCTGCCGCTGCTGCACCTGCTCCTGCTGCTGCCGTTGGGGCAGCAGCCGGGGCTGCTGAGGCTGAAGGAGCGGAAGGAGTGGGGGTCGGTGCCGCTGCAGAGGGACCACCACCACCACCACCAGCGCCACCAGCGCCACCAGCAGCAGCGCTAGTACCACCTCCCCCAGAGTGCCCTGCCCCAGCAGCACCCCCCCCCGCATCCGGTCGTCTCCTAGGCGTCCAGACGGGCCGGTCCGGCCGGTCCCGATTCTTCAGCCTGCCTCGACTGTCCCTTGCCTCTCTCGCTGCCCCTGCGCCAGCTGCTCCTGCTGCCCCTTTCCCTGCTGCGGCCCCTTTCCCTGCTGCTGCCCCTGCGCCAGCTGCTGCCCCCGCTGTTCCTCCTGCTCCTCCTGCTGCACTTGCTGCAGCAGGTGCTTCAGCGTTAGCAGCGGCTGTTGTTGAATCCCCTTGTGCCGGCTGTGCTGTCTGTTGTGGCGCCTGCAAGTTCCCACCCCGCCCATACTGTCTATGCTGCTGCTGCTGCTGCTGCTGCTGCATGTGCGGCTGCTGCTGTTGCCGCGTGATAATTTTCACCCCTCCTGCCCTAAAAACACTTCCGCCACCACTGGTTGTAGCAGGAACATCTGCTGCAGCTGCAGCCCTAATGGCGGATGCACCCACAACTGTAGCATTCCCAGCTGTAGCAGGGTTGGCTATGGCTGGTGCACCTGCAGCAACACCGGCTGTAGCGGACCCTGCAGGCGTAGGAGAGGGCCCGGAAGCAGCAGCAACTGTAGCAGCAGCTGCAGCATCAGGCGTCTGAGAGGAGGAGGAGGTGCCTCTAGCATCCCTCTGTGAGTCGCTGCCTCCTCTCTTGCGGCGAAGGTCAGACGCGTGCCGGCGGGATGAACGTGACTGAAGCGAGGGGTGTGATTATGGGATGGGATGCAGTTATAGGGGGAATGGGATGTGGATGAAATGATGTTGTGGGGGCCATGGACGACGACATTGAGACGGGCATGAGAGAACGCAGTGGGATTAACGTGATTATAAAGAGGGGGGAGCGTAAGACTATGGGGTGGGGGAAGCAAGGGTTACAAAGAGAAGGGGTGAATGCAGGGGGTGACGGGCGGGGAGCGGGGACAGAAAGCAGAGAGAAAATCGACCAAGGGGAAAAACATGAGAAGCGACTTGTTCTTGTTTGTAGATTCAATGCTTTATTTGGGTGTTGACTCATATCATGGTTAACTCACCTGCGCTGCAGAAGCCGCAGCAGAAACGGCCTTGTCCCTTCCACAAGCAGCCTGAGCCCCCCCAGCAAAATTACCTGAAATACCACCTGAAGCACCACCTGCACCACCTATACCCGCCTCACCCCCTCCCCTCCCACCCCTCCCACCTGCACGCCCCCCTCTTTCTCCTCTGCCTCTCCCCTTTCCCCCTGCACCACTCTCCCCTCCCCCTCCCCCTCCCCCTCCACCAACCCCTCGGCCTGCCCCACCCCCAGCAGCAGAGGAAGAGTGCCTCCCCCCTGCGCCTCCCCCAGCCCTCCCCCCTGCGCCTGCGCCCCCTGCCCCCCTCTCCCCCGCGGCCCCCACGGGGCGCGTGGGTCTGCTGGTTACCACCCGCGCCTGAGGCCCAGTGCGCGCATTGGCGCGCCTCTGGCACACAAACTCCACCAGCGGTGTCAGCACTGGGGGTTCTTTGACTCCTGTGGGAGGGGTGGCGGATGGATGGGGGCATTGACGTGCCTGTGGCACACAAACCCCACCAGCGGTGTCAGCACTGGGGGTTCCTTGACCGCTGAAGCTGAAGTGGGAAGGGAAGAGAGGGAAGGAAAGGGCACTGGAGAGCCTCTGGCACACAAAATCAACCAGTGGTGTGTTAAAACAGGGGGCTCATTGGCTGCTGTGGCTGAAGGGAGAAAGAGTGGGAAGAAAAGGGGGAGAGGCCAGGTGGGAAATGAACATGCGGGGAAATGAACATGCGGGGAAGAGTTGAGGACGAGGTTAAGAGCAGTAGTGAAAGGGGAGATTAGCACACCGAAGACAGACATATAGCGCTACACCCCCTGACACCTGCAGCCCACGCACCTGCAGCACACGCACCTGCAGCACACGCACCTGCAGCACACGCACCTGCAGCCCACGCACCTGCAGCACACGCACCTGCAGCACACGCCACGCACCTGCAGCACACGCCACGCACCTGCAGCATACGCACCTGCAGCAGCGGCCCTGTCAGCATCAGCCTTCTCCAGCTGGACCTCTTGCCTTGTGCGTCGACCTACAAGTCAACCAGCAGCACTGACCACAACGCAGCATGCATGCACCATCACAGCAGCACACGCACCTGCAGCAGCGGCCCTGTCAGCGTCGGCCTTCTCCAGCTGCACCTCTGCACTCGGAAGGCTCTCCACGCCCTTCTCCAGGGATGTCAGAAATGCCAGGTAGTCGGGGTCTGGGGGGGATTGGGGGGCGAGAGAGGGAAATCAGAGCGAGGATAAATGGGTGAGGGTGTGTGATTCAAACGCCAGGCGGAATTAATAGAGAGAACGAGACTTGACATGCATGAGCGTGAGAGTACCGGTGATTTGTGGAGGTGCGAGCAGCCTGATGTTACATACAGTCGCCTTCCTCTACAGCCACCATTCTGACAGTCACCTCTCTCTATAGTCCCCTGCCTGGGGTCCTTCCTGTGAGCCTGCCTGGGCACCTTCTGCCATGGCGCATACTCCACTGTCGCTTGGAACTGCTGGCCTGCACACCAACCCAAAGGGATGGATCATGGAAGGGCGGGGGGCAAGGCGGTAAAGGAAGTAGACGGTTCATCATGGGGACTCGTGCGTGCTGCGCTCATCATGGGGACTCGTGCGTGCTGCGCTCATCATGGGGACTCGTGCATGCTGCGCTCATCATGGGGACTCGTGCGTGCTGCGCTCATCTTGGGGACTCGTGCGTGCTGCGCTCATCATGGGGACTCGTGCGTGCTGCGCTCATCATGGGGACTCGTGCGTGCTGCGCTCATCATGGGGACTCGTGCGTGCTGCGCTCATCATGGGGACTCGTGCGTGCTGCGCTCATCTTGGGGACTTGTGCGTGCTGCGCTCATCATGGGGACTCGTGCGTGCTGCGCTCATCATGGGGACTCGTGCGTGCTGCGCTCATCATGGGGACTCGTGCGTGCTGCGCTCATCATGGGGACTCGTGCGTGCTGCGCTCATCATGGGGACTCGTGCGTGCTGCGCTCATCTTGGGGACTCGTGCGTGCTGCGCTCATCGTGGGGACTCGTGCGTGCTGCGCTCATCATGGGAACTCGTGCGTGCTGCGTGTGCTGCTGCTGTGGGTGGGTGCGTGCTGCGTGTGCTGCTGCTGTGGGTGGGTGGATGCTGCGTGTGGTGCGGTGCTGCTGCCATCTAACGTACCTTTTGCGTTGACATGTATTGACGTTTCTGACGCAGTTGTATTTTGAGTTGACTCAAAATAATTCTGACGCACATGAACGCCGAACCTTCTTCCAGTGATTCTAGAGACGAGGAGCTTCAAGGACCTACCCTTCTCATCGACAGTGGAATACGAACGCTTTGTTTGAAGCCTCCTCTCCTCCTTCTCTGGAGCAAGCGTGAAAGGTGGACCAAGAAGACCTTCTCTGGAGCAAGCGACCTACCCTTCTCGTTGACGAAGGTGTGGCCGTGAAAGTCGGAAGAGAAGGTAAAGACGTCGTCGGGCGAGAGGAAGTTGATGTATGCCCGCGACAACGCTGCCTTCTTGGACCTGCAGAGACGCGATGGCAGGAAAGTCGGAGGAGAAAGGAAATACGTCGTCAGGCGAGTGGAAGTAGATGTACGCCTGTGAGAGCGCTGCCTCCTTGGACCTGCGATGGCACGAAGGGGGACGGCAGGCGTGACGGCGATGAGGGGAGGGCAGGAGGAGGGAAGGAAAGAAGGCAAAGAAGTCGTCAGGCGTGAGGCAGATAATGTACGCCCGTGAGAGCACTGGCCTTCTGGACCTGCGGAGAGGTGAGGCGAGGAGGTGAGATGAGGTGAGATGAGGTGAGGAGGATAGGAGGTGAGGAAATGAGAGGGAATGAGAGGAGGAATTATAGGAGGAAAGGAGGGAAGACACTAAGCGGGGATGGAAGTGATTAAGAGGCGATGGGGAGGTGGTCTAAACTAAAATAGCTGGGTAAAAAAGGGGTAAGTCCGGCAACGCACGATGATTTTCCGGGGTAGAAGACGATCCAGTTGTAGCAGCCTTGATACTTCTTATTGAGCGCCTCGACGAATAGCTCTTCCTTAAGATTCGGCGGTAGTTTCCGCACCACCACTTTCGTCTTTTTCAGAGCCTCCTTCATCGTGCGTCCTCAGCCACCAGGCTAGAGCTAAAAAAACTATCCGACGAAGAAACGACAACCGCCCGACGACGACACGGAAACCGTCGACAAGGAAACCGTCTGGCTGACTTTTCCCGAGGGCTTCGAGAATCGACACGGAGAGAAAGCGATGGGGTGATTACAGTATCGGCAAGCACTGCCCTTTGCAGCGAGAGAAATAGCCCCAGTGGCTCTAAATAGCCGTCTGTTGCAGCTGCCAGGCTGCTGAAGATAGCAGGGAGATAGCAGGCGAGGGGGTGGAGCAGGGCTTCAGAAGTCAGGGCAAAATGGGAAAGGGGTTCGTGTTATCGAGGATGCTAGCCTGTCATTTATAGCAGGGTGTTTTTTTGGGTTGCGTAGCAACCTTATAAAATTGGTTTCATGTTTTCGCACGCCAGGGTGTCCAATAACTTTAGGGTTACTACACCTGTAAAATGGTTGAATGTAAATATTTTACTGTCGTATAGTGTTGTTAAGATACGACCTTATGCTGTTTACTTTATGTATGTTTTGCCTACCAACCGTCCGTCGATGAATACGGCGGACGAATGGTTTCAAAACATACATTCTGTCGCATTTTTGTCACACAAAATCAACCACGTACAAACGCGTACGAATGTACAATGATGCCGTGGATGCAATGAAGCCATGCACGAATGCTTCCGTGCTGCAAGCGTGGTTGACATGTACGTTTTGGAAGCAAAGCTTTCCAAGCCGACAACGACAACCACAGTTTGCATGTTGCACTTAGCATATATGCACCACTCCAATACAAACATGACATTACAAAATGCACGACCACAAAACAATACACACAGTATGCAAACATAGAATCTCGCCATGAATACAATGAAGTGATACACGAATGCTTTTGTGCTGCAAGTGAGGTTGACATGTGCGTTTTGGAAGCAACGCTTTCCAAACCGACAAAGACTACCACATTTTGCGTACTGCACTTGGCATATATGCACCACTCTAGTACAAGCATGACACCACGATAACAGTGACGATTCAAACCATGCAATCCACATACTCACGGAAAAAAAACACACGCATACACGTATAATAAGGGAGGGTGGTGGAAGAAAGGGAAATAATAAGGGGGGAACCAAGAAGAGGACAAAGAAGATAGGGACCACGCATCATGGGAGTACAAACACAACACACAAGAGAACTCTGAGAGAAACATGAAAGCCCAAATGTGCTGATCACTCAGTTACTACTGGTTGCGATGAAGCACACCCCCCCCTCTTCTCCTCCTCTCCTTCCCTACTCTTTCTCCCCCCCTTCCAATTCCAGCTTATCCCCTAAACCTCCCCCCCCCCCCACACTCTTTGTCTTGGCAATGCACAAATGCAGTTACCAGTCGTCTACATAGACCTGCACACAACGGCGATAGGAAACAAACAGAATTTAGGGTTTAGAAAACCTATTGCAATAGTTGAACACTAAGTGCGCTAGCAATAAGTGCACTAATTTCGCCAAATGATTAGGAGATGGTAAACTAGTGGACAACGAACAAATGGGCTACCATTAGGAACGATTTCGGCCAGCGTGCTGACAGCTGGTTCGCCGATGCCTAGTGCACGGATGGCGAGTACGCAACCAACTAGTGCGTGGACGGCTATTAAGTGGGTGGCCAATGCACCGATGACTAGTATGCGGATGGCTAAAGCACAGATAGCTGGTGCGCATACAGCTAGTGTGCGGACGGCTAGTGTGCCGAAGGCTAGTGTGCCGACGGCTAGTGCACACATAGCTAGGTACTGCTAGGTGTTGCTAGGTGCTGCTAGGTGATGCTAGGTGCTGCTAGGTGATGCTAGGTGCTGCTAGGTGCTGCTAGGTGTTGCTAGATGCTGCTAGGTGTTACTAGGTGCTGCTAGGTACTGCTAGGTGCTGCTAGGTGCTGCTAGGTGCTGCTAGGTGCTGCTAGGTGCTGCTTAGTGCTGCTTAGTGCTGCTAGGTGCTGCTAGTGCTGCTAGGTGCTGCTAGGTGCTGCTAGGTGCTGCTAGGTGCTGCTAGGTGCTGTTAGGTGCTGCTAGGTGCTGCTAGGTGCTGTTAGGTGGTGCTAGGTGCTGCTAGGTGCTGCTTAGTGCTGCTAGGTGCTGCTAGTGCTGCTAGGTGCTGCTAGGTGCTGCTAGGTGCTGCTAGGTGCTGCTAGGTGCTGCTAGGTGCTGCTAGGTGCTGCTAGGTGTTGCTAGGTGCTGTTAGGTGCTGCCAGATTCTGCTAGGTGTTGCTAGTTGCTGCTAGGTGTTGCTAGGTGCTGCTCGGTGCTGCTCGGTGCTGCTAGGTGCCGCTAGGTGCTGCTAGGTGCTGCTAGGTGCTGCTAGGTGCTGCTAGGTGTTGCTAGGTACTGCTAGGTGCTGCTAGATTATGCTAGGTGCTGCTAGGTGCTGCTAGGTGCTGCTAGGTTCTGCTAGGTGTTGCTAGGTGCTGCCAGGTGCTGCAAGGTGCTGCTAGGTGTTGCCAGGTGCTGCTAGGTGCTGCTAGGTGTTGCTAGATGCTGCTAGGTGCTGCTAGGTGCTGCTAGGTGCTGCTAGGTGTTGCTAGGTGCTGCTAGGTGCTGCTAGGTTCTGTTAGGTGCTGCTAGGTGCTGCTAGGCGTGGCTAGGTGCTGCTCGGTGCTGCTCGGTGCTGCTAGGTGATGCTAGCTGCTGCTAGGTGCTGCAAGGTGTTGCTAGGTGCTGCTAGGTGCTGCTAGGTGCTGCTAGGTGCTGCTAGGTGTTGCTAGGTGCTGCTAGGTGCTACTAGGTGCTGCTAGGTGCTGCTAGGTGCTGCTAGGTGTTGCTAGGTGCTGCTAGGTTCTGCTAGGTGTTGCTAGGTGCTGCTAGGTGCTGCTAGATTTTGCTAGGTGCTGCTAGGTCCTGCTAGGTGCTGCTAGGTGCTGCTAGGTGCTGCTAGGTTCTGCTAGGTGTTGCTAGGTTCTGCTAGGTGTTGCTAGGTGCTGCTAGGTGCTGCTAGGTGCTGCTAGGTGCTGCTCGGTGCTGCTCGGTGCTGCTCGGTGCTGCTAGGTGCTGCTAGGTGCTGCTAGGTGTTGCTAGGTGCTGCTAGGTGCTGCTAGGTGCTGCTAGGTGCTGCTAGCTGCTGCTAGCTGCTGCTAGGTGCTGCTAGGTGTTGCTAGATGCTGCTAGGTGCTGCTAGGTGCTGCTAGGTGCTGCTAGGTGCTGCTAGGTGCTGCTAGGTGCTGCTAGGTGCTGCTAGGTGTTGCCAGGTGCTGCTAGGTGCTGCTAGGTGCTGCTAGGTGCTGCGAGGTGCTGCGAGGTGCTGCTAGGTGCTGCTAGGTGCTGCTAGGTGCTGCTAGGTGCTGCTAGGTGCTGCTAGGTGCTGCTAGGTGCTGCTAGGTGCTGCTAGGTGCTGCTAGGTGCTGCTAGGTGCTGCTAGGTGCTGCTAGGTGCTGCTAGGTGCTGCTAGGTGCTGCTAGGTGCTGTTAGGTGCTGCTAGGTGCTGCTAGGTGCTGCTAGGTGCTGCTAGGTGCTGCTAGGTGCTGCTAGGTGCTGCTAGGTGCCGCTAGGTGCTGCTAGGTGCTGCTAGGTGCTGCTAGGTGCTGCTAGGTGCTGCTAGGTGCTGCTAGGTGCTGCTAGGTGCCGCTAGGTGCCGCTGGGTGCTGCTAGGTGCTGCTAGGTGCCGCTAGGTGCCGATAGGTGCTGCTAGGCGCTGCTAGGTGCTGCTAGGTGCTGCTAGGTGCTGCTAGGTGCTGCTAGGTGCTGCTAGGTTCTGCTAGGTGTTGCTAGGTTCTGCTAGGTGTTGCTAGGTGCTGCTAGGTGCTGCTAGGTGCTGCTAGGTGCTGCTAGCTGCTGCTAGCTGCTGCTAGCTGCTGCTAGGTGTTGCTAGATGCTGCTAGGTGCTGCTAGGTGCTGCTAGGTGCTGCTAGGTGCTGCTAGGTGCTGCTAGGAGCTGCTAGGTGCTGCTAGGTGCTGCTAGGTGCTGCTAGGTGCTGCTAGGTGCTGCTAGGTGCTGCTAGGTGCTGCTAGGTGCTGCTAGGTGCTGCTAGGTGCTGCTAGGTGCTGCTAGGTGCTGCTAGGTGCTGCTAGGTGCCGCTAGGTGCCGCTAGGTGCCGCTAGGTGCCGCTAGGTGCGGCTAGGTGCTGCTAGGTGCTGCTAGGTGCTGCTAGGTGCTGCTAGGTGCTGCTAGGTGCTGCTAGGTGCTGCTAGGTGCTGCTAGGTGCTGCTAGGTGCTGCTAGGTGCTGCTAGGTGCTGCTAGGTGCTGCTAAGTGCTGCTAGGTGCTGCTAGGTGCTGCTAGGTGCTGCTAGGTGCTGCTAGGTGCTGCTAGGTGCTGCTAGGTGCCGCTAGGTGCCGCTGGGTGCTGCTAGGTGCTGCTAGGTGCCGCTAGGTGCCGATAGGTGCTGCTAGGCGCTGCTAGGTGCTGCTAGGTGCTGCTAGGTGCTGCTAGGTGCTGCTAGGTGCTGCTAGGTGCTGCTAGGTGCTGCTTAGTGCTGCTTAGTGCTGCTAGGTGTTGCTAGGTGCTGCTAGGTGCTGCTAGATGCTGCTAGGTGCTGCTAGGTGATGCTAGCTGCTGCTAGCTGCTGCTAGCTGCTGCTAGGAGCTGCTAGGTGCTGCTAGGTGCTGCTAGGTGCTGCTAGGTGCTGCTAGGTGCTGCTAGGTGCTGCTAGGTGCTGCTAGGTGCCGCTAGGTGCTGCTAGGTGCTGCTAGGTGCTGCTAGGTGCCACTAGGTGCCGCTAGGTGCTGCTAGGTGCTGCTAGGTGCTGCTAGGTGCTGCTAGGTGCTGCTAGGTGCTGCTAGGTGCTGCTAGGTGCTGCTAGGTGCTGCTAGGTGCTGCTAGGTGTTGCTAGGTGCTGACCTGCCAGAAGAGAGGGCGCCTCACTATCACTCAGCACCAACGAAGCACGTCGCCTGCCACGCCATCAGCCCGTTCCGCCATCGAGCGCGGTGCCTGTGCGCAGGATCACCGCATGCCTTGCACCGACGCGCGCGCCGCCTGTGCTCCTAGTGCAAAGCGGGGCTTCAGAGCGGCTGACGCCAGCGCGCCAAGAGCCAGTGCGCTACGCAGGCCAGACGCTAGGCGTCTGCGCGCTTAGCGCTGGTGACCGCAGCGCCAGTGTGCCTAGAGCCAGCGTGGCGCGAACGCGCCTGCGCCAGCGAGCGTGGCGCCAGCACGCTAGCTCACGCCAGCGCGGCGCTTGCGCCCTTTAGAGCCAGCGCGCGCCAGCCAGCTTGGCGCGTGCGTGCCTAGCGCCAACCAGCACGGCGCTTGCGACCCTAGCGCCAGCGCGTGCCCAGTCAGCGCGGCGTCAGCGCCCTGGCGCCAGCGCGCTAGCGCAAGTCAGCGCGGCGCTTGCACCCCTAGAGCCAGCGCGAGCCAGCCAGCGCGGCACCTGCGCACCTAGGCGCGGCGTCAGCGCGCTAGCGCCAGACACATCGGCGCCAGCGCGCTAGCGCCAGTCAGCGCGGCGCCTGCGCGCCTAGCGCCAACAAGCTCGCGCCAAGTGCGGCGCCAGCGCGCTTGCGGCAGGAAGCGCGGCGCCTGGGCCCCTAGTGCCAACGAGCAGCGATTCTAAATGGTAAGGATGATCTAATTATGGCGACCTAACTATGACTGCCTACTAAGAACGAATTACGGGCGAAGAGAAGCAAGATTGGGAGCGAGTTGGGTGGAGCAGGAAGTTGGTTTGGGTGTATCAAGATTGCCTTGCCAAGGGCACCACCAACAACCCCTTACTGAGTCAGCAGAGTTCACTCAAACCAAGTCAGCAACTCTTCCGAAAGCCCTAATTGTCTCATATCGAGAAAAATCTACCCGCTAAACTGTATCCTAGTGAATATGATAATACAATACTCTCCGTGGTGACCAATTTTCACTCTCCCAATTTAAGCTTAGACTTCAATAATACGTGTGCTATAATTGATTCGAAATATGGAAAAAAAATTATGGTTTTATCATAATGTAAAATCAAGCTTTGGTAAAAAACATACTAGAATAACAAAGCATAGAAAGACGAATATATACCTCAATGAAAATGCATTTATATTTGGGGCCTTATGGAGTATATATTTTCCACGTGAATTTGTTTTTCCGGGTACGCAACCCTTCCGACGCGAAACGTCGAACCTTGTTTAGGGTCGTCCTGATTTCTCAGCTTTTGATTTTCCCTAGGCCTGAATTTTAGGAGTTCTCATTTGAGCAGGCCTGGGGAGGAGCTTGCATAAGGGCATTACACATTTCGATGTCCAACAAATGTTCCAAACGGGAAAGAGGTTCGTGTTATCGAGGATGCTAGCCGGTCATTTCAAGACGCACTGCAGCAGAGGTGGGCTTGGTTGGGAGGAGGGACCACCGGGACCGGCTAGCCAGCCAATCTGGTTGGTTTGGCAAATTGGAGGGATCCCCTCGGTTTGGTGGGATGAGACGGGTTTGGATGGAACTTCACTTGGTAATGCCAATTTTGCAATGCCTTCGTCTCACAGAACTAGCACTAGGGAATTCCGTTGTCATGGCGCCTGCTGGCACACCTGGCTCCAGTAACCTGGGCCCTGTTCGGCAGCCCTGGACCGTTGGCAACAGTTTCTCCTCGTTGCGACCAATGGCGTCTCTGCCATGGCGTCCAATCATCCCCCCCTATGACGTATCGCTACTGTACCATGCACACAGGCTTCACCGAAACCGCCGTCACCATATCTACCGCTGCTCTCCGCTTTCTCAACCCGCACGCTCCTCCCTCCATCCATTCGCGTCTGAATTGCTGCGGTCCTTTCCAGATATAAAGGAGGTCTATACCCGAAGAATGGTTTCTGACCTAGCATCCTGGTGCCGTTGGTCAGGCCAGAGCATCTGGCTGTTCTCACTGCAGGTTTTTCTATCGGGACGTGCGGAAACGCGAGAACTCCTCAGACGCTCAAGCTGCGAATTCGCAATTGATAGCTGTACCTCCCATCCTTCTGATTGAGCAGCCATGGCGGCCGTGGTTATGCCCATCCATTCCTACACGTGGGTCTTCGTTGTGACTCTGATTTTCTCCTTGCTCGACGGCTACGCCATCGGTGAGCGTCGCAACGCCTCGTTGCTGCTCAACTTGACGATTAAATCCAACTACGAATTTCTTTCGCTTTTCTGCGACGAGTTTGACCCTGCGTTTAATTCGTCGCAGGTGCTAACGACGTTGCGAATTCTTTCGCCACGTCGGTCGGATCGCGGTCGCTCACCCTCAAGCAAGCCGTGTGTATTGCCTTCTTCACTGAATTCGGAGGAGCCATAGCCCTTGGCGCTACGACAACCAAGACGGTCAAAGACGGAATCATCGATATCGACCTGTTTAACTCTCGGCCGGACCTTCTCATGACAGGCTTCATGTGCGCGTTAATAGCCTCCGCGACATGGGTCATGACCGCGACCTATCTAGGCTTCCCTCTCTCCACCACACACTCCATAATCGGTGCGCTAATCGGTGTTGGCATTAGCGCGTATGGCAAGGACGCGGTCATTTGGGGTTGGGAGGGTAAGGGCGTGGCTCAGATCGCAACATCATGGGTCCTAGCCCCATGCCTAGCTGGCATCCTCGCAGCAATCATCTATTTAGTCACACTCTTTACAGTCATGAAACGGAGGAACTCTCTCCGAGCTGGCATCTGGGCCGTCCCTTTCTACTTCACCATCACCACCTTCATCGTCAGTTTCTACGTCGTCTCAGGAAACAACCGGCTGGGTTTTAGGAGTGAAGAGGGTTCGATCAGTGGCAACATTGGCCTGGCGTTTGGCATCATCGGTGCAATAACATTCGCTGTTCTCATCTTCTCTGTCGGGTTCCTCGTGCCATTCTTTATCCGACGGCTGGAGAAGGAGGAGTCCCTCAAGTGGTACCACGTCTTCTGCATCCACTGCCTGCCAGAGCAGCCTCGTGACGCCAAGGTCGACCTGCACTTGAAACGTGCTTTCACCCCGCAGCTGCTGAACGATGGTGAGAAGACAGCGTTCGGAATGCGAGTGGATGAGGATATAGAGGAGAGCAAGGAGGAGGGGTGGGAGTGGGAGAGGCGCAAGTACATGAACCCCGTTGTCCGGCTATTGCAGCACGTCAGGTGGCTGCTGCTGCGCACGTGGCACATTGACATTGTGAGCGTGCAGCAGGCGAACAGGGGTGCTGTGCGTGCGCACGAGGTGGCAATTCTCTATGACAACAAGACGGAGTACCTCTACTCGCTGCTGCAAGTCGTCACCGCTTCCTTTGCCAGTTTCTCCCACGGGTCTAATGACGTGGCCAGTGCGCTGGGGCCCCTCGCTGGCGTGTTCCAGATCTGGGACTCCGGCACCTTCACCACGAACGCCAGCGTGCCCTACTGGATGCTCGCCAGTGCCGGGATAGCCATCGACCTCGGCCTCGCCCTGTGTAAGCCATCGTCATCCCTGCCTGCTGATATTTTTTGCTGCTGCCTCCTTCCCTCCACTGTTTCTTGCCTCAATAGCCACCCTCATTCCCATTCCTGTCATCGTCCCATTGCCACCCTTCTCATGCTATCATTAATGTGCTCTTCCTGCCTCGCCCCATCCCATCTCCGTCCAGATGGTTACAACATCATGCGTAACCTCGGTAACAACATCACTTACCACTCGCCCTCGCGCGGCTTCTCCATGGAATTAGGAGCAGCGCTCGCCGTCATCACCGCATCCTTCCTCGCCCTCCCAGTCTCCACCACTCAATGCATTGTTGGCGCCACTGTGGCCGTGGGTCTGTGCAATTGCAACTGGAGGGCCATCAACTGGGGCATGGTGGCCATTGCTGGCTTTGGCTGGGTGGTCACGCTTCCTGTGGCTGGCACTGCTGCTGGTCTGCTCTATGCCCTCCTCACACGTGGGCCTAGCTTCACCTTGCCCCCTGGAATGGAAACTGCATGAAGGGAAGAAAAAAGCTAGAGCCGGTACTCTATCTTTGCTGGTATATGTCTTTGCTTTTGTTGGGTTTTCACACCTGTATATACACATAGTGCTCACATTATACTACTGGCTCAGCTCGTACCATGTAAGGTGCCCAGCAGAGCTCTCAGTTGCAAGATACACAACACGTGTTCGAATAGGAATATTATCAAACAAACCACGGCAATGAAAATAAACGCATCGTGAAGGAAAGGAGTTTCTTTTATCGCAGATGCTGCTTTCCTCTGCGACAACCCAGCAAGTTATTGGACGAGGTGGCGGGGGAATTGGGGAGAGGGGGGACCACCTCCGGGTCAAATTCAAGTGGGCTCGGCAGTCTCGAGGGAATCATTTGGGAATCTCTTGTCAGGAGGACAGAAGGAAAAGCCTGGCAGGATAAGAGGCAGTGAGGTGAGGACCATGGCGTCGTGATGAAGGAATCTGGGGGATGCAATACACTGAGAGGATTTAGGAATGCTCGGTGTCATGGCGACCGTTGCCTGCAGCTGCTTCGTCTCGTGCCAACCGCTGGATCCAATTCCTGTCATGGCGTCCGATGCATGACGTGCGTCCAGCTGCTCGCCTCAACAGCGTCTCGGAGGACGGCGACGGTCTCACCATGGCCACCTCTTCTCCCGCGACTGGTTTGCTCAATTGGTTCCACCTCCTCCCTGCACCGCTCAGCCTGCACCTGATGCGATCGCCGTGGATCAGGTCGTTCGTCGCTCACCGAGGATGGGGTCTTGCCACCTTGGTGCCATCCGTCCGCGTCCTCGCAGGACCGTCGTTCTCTTGCGCAGGTTTCGTCGGACCTGTGCGTGCGAGCCACGCGAGCGCTCGCGAGAGTCGCCTTGCCTAGGCGTCTGATTCACCTTACCGTGTAACGCAGATCGCTGGAGTGAGCAGCCATGGCGGCCGTGGTGATGCCTATCCATTCGTACACGTGGGTCTTCGTCTTCACGCTGCTCTTCGCCTTCCTCGATGGCTACTCCATCGGTAAGCTGACCGCGTCGCTGCCTTTGCTGTTCGATCATTTTTCCAAGTCAGCTTCGGTCGCTTCACTTATGCGATAACTCTGAATCCTGCGTTTTTAATGTGTCGCATCAACCGTCGCAGGTGCGAACGACGTCGCCAATTCCTTCGCGACGTCGGTCGGATCGAGGTCGCTCACCCTCAAGCAAGCCGTTTGCATTGCTTTCTTCACTGAATTCGGAGGAGCCATAGCTCTTGGCGCCACCACGACCAAGACAGTTAAGGACGGGATAATTAAGACTTACCTGTTTGACGATCGGCCAGACCTTCTCATGACAGGCTTCATGTGCGCGTTAATAGCCTCCTCGACATGGGTCATGACTGCGACCTATCTAGGCCTCCCGCTCTCGACCACACACTCCATAATCGGTGCGCTTATCGGTGTTGGCATTAGCGCGTACGGCAGGGGCGCTGTCAACTGGGGTTGGCAGGGTAAGGGCGTGGCGCAGATTGCAACGTCATGGATCCTAGCCCCATGCCTAGCTGGCATCCTGGCAGCGATCATCTATACAATCACACTCTTTGCTGTCTTGAAACGGAGAAATTCGCTCCGAGCTGGCATCTGGGCAGTTCCTTTCTACTTCACCATCACCATCTTCATCGTCAGTTTCTACGTCGTCTCAAGAAACGGACGGTCGAGCTTCACCATCGATGCGAGTTCCATCGGCGGCGGGCTCGAGGTCAGTGGCAACATCGGCCTGGCGTTTGGCATCATCGGGGCCATAACAGGCACTGTTCTCATCTTCTCTGTTGGCTTCCTCGTGCCGTTCTTTATCCGACGGCTGGAGAAGGAGGAGTCCCTCAAGTGGTACCACGTGTTCTGCATCCACTGCCTGCCAGAGCAGCCTCACGACCCCAAGATCGACCTGTACCTGAAACGCGCCTTTACCCCGCAGCTGCTGAACGACGCTGACAAGACGGAGCTCGGAATGCCTGTGGAGGATGACGAGGAGAGCAAGGAGGAGCAGGAGGAGCGGGAGGAGAGGGAGTGGCGCAGATGCAGGAACCCCGTTGTGCGCTTCTTGGGCCACGTCAAGTGGCTGCTGCTGCGCACGCTCTACATCGACGTTGCGACGGTGCAGCACGAGAACAGGGGTGCTGTGCGCGCGCACGAGGTGGCGATCCTCTACGACAACAAGACGGAGTACCTCTACTCGCTGCTGCAAGTCGTCACCGCCTCCTTTGCGAGTTTCTCCCACGGCTCCAACGACGTGGCGAATGCTCTGGGTCCCCTCGCTGGCGTGTTCCAGATCTGGGACTCCGGCACCTTCACCACGAACGCCAGCGTGCCGTACTGGATGCTCGTCAATGCCGGGCTTGCCATTGACGTCGGTCTTGCTCTATGTAAGCCATCCTTGCTCTTTCGCTCCTGCTCGCCTAACCCATTTCTCCTGCTTCTCTGCCACTCCATTCGCTTTTGCCTCATTGCCATCCTCACCACACCATGCTTGATGCTCGCTTTCCTCACCTCAACCTTCCATCCTTCCGTCCAATTCTTTCAGTTTCTCCTCCCCATTTCCATCCAGATGGTTACAACATCATGCGTAACCTCGGCAACAACATCACGTACCACTCCCCCTCGCGCGGCTTCTCAATGGAGCTGGGAGCAGCCCTTTCTGTGATAACAGCATCCTTCCTTGCCCTCCCAGTCTCCACCACTCAGTGCATTGTTGGTGCCACTGTGGCCGTGGGTCTCTGCAACTGCAACTGGAGGGCCATCAACTGGGGCATGGTGGCCATTGCTGGCTTTGGCTGGGTGTTGACTCTCCCTGTGGCTGGCATTGCTGCTGGTCTGCTCTATGCTCTCCTCACTCGTGGCCCTAGTTTCACCTTGCCTTCTGGCATGGAAGTTGGCTGAACAGGGTTGGAGATATATTTCCCCAATACAAGCCATTGTATATTCATACCCAAAGCTCATTTGCTCGATTTATATTTTCCATGAAAATGGACGTGGCTGTGTAGTGTACATTCCCACCCTGCTAATCATTCCACTATTCTGAGACCGAAGCATGTGTCACACCATGAGTCGGTTCAGAGATACTGTAGCACCTTTCTACGGCACATTGTCAAACGCGCAACTATAGACATGCAAGAACCACTCATAAGCACTGCTAATCTACTACTCACTAGCATCGTGCTACCAGTCTCAAGCCAACCAGCAGGGAGCGCTCCTAGTGCTGCAGGGAGTGCTCCCCCTGTGGCAGAAAGCGCTCCTCTAGTGGCAGGAAGTGCTCCTGGAGCAGAACGGAACGATTCTGGCAAGTAAAGGAGCGTTCCTCCTGGAGCAGCAGGGAGCCCTCCCAGTGCAGCAGCGAGCCCCCTTGGTGCGGCAGATAGCGGTGGATGAGGGTGCATGAGGGTGGATGAGGGTGGGTGAGGGTGCATGAGGGTGCATAAGGGTGCATGAGGGTGGATGAGGGTGGATGAGGGTGGATGAGGGTGCATGAGGGTGCATGAGGGTGCATGAGGGTGGATGAGGGTGGATGAGGGTGGATGAGGGTGGATGAGGGTGGATGAGGGTGGATGAGGGTGCATGAGGGTGGATGACGGTGCATGAGGGTACGTGAGGGTGCATGAGGATGCATGAGGGTGCATGAGGATGCATGAGGGTGGATGAGGGTGGATGAGGGTGGATGAGGGTGGATGAGGGTGCATGAGGGAGCATGAGGGTGCATGAGGATGCATGAGGGTGGATGAGGGTGCATGAGGATGCGTGAGGGTGGATGAGGATGCATGAGGGTGCATGAGGATGCATGAGGGTGGATGAGGTTGGATGAGGGTGCATGAGGGTGGCTGAGGGTGGATGAGGGTGCATGACGGTGCATGAGGGTGGATGAGGGTGGATGAGGGAGCGTGAGGGTGCATGAGGGTGCATGAGGGTGCATGAGGGTGGATGAGGATGCATGAGGGTAGATGAGGTTGGATGAGGGTGCATGAGGGTGCATGAGGGTGCATGAGGGTGGATGAGGGTGGATGAGGGTGGATGAGGGTGCATGAGGGTGCATGAGGGTGGATGAGGATGCATGAGGGTAGATGAGGTTGGATGAGGGTGCATGAGGGTGGATGAGGGTGGATGAGGGTGGATGAGGGTGCATGAGGGTGCATGAGGGTGCATGAGGGTGGATGAGGGTTGATGAGGGTGGATGAGGGTGGATGAGGGTGGATGAGGGTGGATGAGGGTGAATGAGGATGCATGCGGGTGGATGAGGGTGGATGAGGGTGCATGAGGGTGCATGAGGGTGCATGAGGGTCGATGAGGATGCATGAGGGTGGATGAGGGCGGAAGAGGGTGCAAAAGGGTGGGTGAGGGTGGATGAGGGTGGATGAGGGTGCATGAGGGTGGATGAGGGTGCATGAGGATGCATGAGGGTGGATGAGGGTGGATGAGGGTGGATGAGGGTGCATGAGGGTGCATGAGGGTGCATGAGGGTGGATGAGGGTTGATGAGGGTGGATGAGGGTGGATGAGGGTGAATGAGGATGCATGCGGGTTGATGAGGGTGGATGAGGGTGCATGAGGGTGCATGAGGGTCGATGAGGATGCATGAGGGTGGATGAGGATGCATGCGGGTGGATGAGGGTGCATGAGGGTGCATGAGGGTGCATGAGGGTGGATGAGGATGCATGAGGGTCGCTGAGGGTGGATGAGGGCGGATGAGGGTGCATGAGGATGCATGAGGGTGGATGAGGATGCATGCGGGTTGATGATGGTGGATGAGGGTGGATGAGGGTGGATGAGGATGCATGCGGGTTGATGAGGGTGGATGAGGGTGCATGAGGGTGCATGAGGGTGCATGAGGATGCTTGAGGGTGGATGACGGTGGATGAGGGTGGATGAGGGTGGATGATGGAGCTGTAGGAGCAGCAGGCAGTCCACCCCCCTTGGGAAGCAGCACCCCAGAGAGTGCACCTCATGGGGCGAGGTGTGGCAGTGGAAAAGCGCTTCCAGCCCAAGACTCAAATCCCTTCCCTGACGTGGCTAGAGCTGACGCGAACCAGAGCCGCCGGCCGGCCGACTCTGACGGTGTCCATTAAGCCTTAAACGCCAGATCGGTTACTTGAGCACCGAGTGCCGTGCCACGCAGATTCCACCAACCACACCCCTCCCACAAGGCACAACCACCGAGGATGCTGCCCCTAAGGCAGCGAGCTGACTGCATACTCCCATGCTTTCCCCCACCCCCCAACCCCCCCTCTCCCCCACACCAGCAGACCTCCTTACCTCCACCTACCAGAGCGGTGCAGAGTGGTGCCATGTTGCTTGAGGCTGTTGGGAGGGGAAGGGGAATTAGGGTGGGGCCTCCTCGCCTCTCCCCCCTCAAGGCATGCTGCTGGGGAGGGATGGGGAGGTGAGTGGGGAGGAGATGTGCATGTGGGTGGTGTGGAGGGGGGGAGGGGGAGGTGAGTGAGGGGGTGGGGGGCTCCACTCTCCTGGTTTGCTCCAGTGCTCCGAGATTGACCCTCCTGCCCTTACTGCAGGGGATGATGATGAAGCCATGCTGCTGGAGAGGGGCGGGGAAGGGGTGGGGGGGGGGAGGGAGAGAGGGGGGCGTGAGTGAAGAGGGAGAGGGCGTCCACCTGCAGTTTCCTTGCTCCAGTCCAGTGCTCCGAGTTCCACCCTCCTGCCTTGCTGGGGGGGATGATGATGAAGCCATGCTGCTGGGGGGGGGGGAGGAGAGGGGGGGGGGGGTGAGTAACGAGAGAGGGACTCCACTTCCTTCTGTCCTTGCTCCAGCCCAGTGCTCCGACCCTGAGGGGATGAGGAGACGAGAGATGGGGGGATCAGATCACCATACCTCACCTGTTACCATACCTCACCTGTAACATACCTCACCTGTAACATACCTCACCTGTTACCATACCTCACCTGTTACCATACCTCACCTGTTACCATACCTCGCTCACTCACACCTATACCTAGCCTGCCCTTTAACCCCCCAAAGCCCAGCTGCTGCTGCCACTGCTGCTTCTGCTGCTGCTGCTGCTGCTGCTGCTGCTGCTTCACTGCTGCAATCTTCAATTTAAGCCAAGCGACCTGGTAGGGGTAGAATGGGGAGGCACACAGGGGAGGGTGGTTGGGAGTCTACGTGAAAAGAGAAACGAGGGAAGGGTGAGTTTGCAGCAAAATTATAAATAAACCAGCTGTGAACAAGAAGGAAATCAGAAGTGCAAAATACGGATTGCGGCAGGAAGAGGAAGCAACAAGGAATGCAGCAGCAAATGAGCCTCAGGGCGAGGAAGCGAGCATGAGAGCTTACCTTGAGAGGCCAAGCCCACCCCCAGATACTCTCCCTCGTGCTGCTCAGTGATGACTGTGCTGCCTCGCCGCCCATCCCCCCACAGCCACAGGGGAGAGGCATGAGGTCGCGTAGGTGCTGACCCCCACGCCCCTCCCCTCCACCTGCAATGCACACACACAGCGCTAGTCAGTGCACAGTGAGGGGATGAATGGAAGAAACTGCAAGAAACTGCAAGAAACTGCAAGAAACTGCAAGAAACTGCAAGAATGGAAAGGCGGGAGAGGGGAGGGGCCACTGGTGGAGACCAAACCACAAGCCGCAGACCCCAAGGGGAGGGGGAACCTGAGGGGGCTGAACCTGAGGGGGCTGTAAGGCTTTACCTGACGGGACACCTGGGGGGGGCTGTACCAAAAATACCTAAGGGGGTCTACCTGCAGTAGGGGGGGTCTGTGGCTAGTGAGTCGGCCCCCAACCAGTGCGTTGATTTGAATGGAGGAAGCAAGGAAGCGAGCAAGGGCAGAATAAAGTAGAAGCAGAAACATGAGCAGAATAGAGCAGGAGCAGAAGCAAGAGCAGGCAGCTGCATGCACGGCCAAGGCCAGGGAGGAGAAGGCACTTAGCTGGACACCTGAAGCGCTGCTTAAGTGGCTGCCTGGTGCCTCCTCCCCCTCGCCCACTGCCCCCCTCCCTTTGCCTGCTGCCCCCTCCGCTCTTGACTGCTGCCCCCTCCGCTCTTGACTGCTGCCCCCTTCCGTCTCGCCTGCTGCCCCTCCTTCCTCCCTCTGCTCCCTGCGAGGGAGACAAGGGGCGGGTGGAGAAAGGAGAGAGAGAAAAAGGCTGGATGTGGAGTCGAGCCTCCCCTGGGTTGGAGGCAGAGAACCACCAGAGAGAGGAAACAAGGGCGTGCTGCGACTGAAGCGGAATACAGGCAAAGGAAAGGGACAGGAGGGGCGAGTGGGATTGGGCTGGGCTTACCTTCTGAGGCCAACCCCACCCCCAGATACTCTCCCTCGTGGCAGCCCTTCTCTCAGCCCTTCCACGTGTGCACCTGCACGGCCACAGGGGAGGGGCGAGAGGGAGTGTCGGTGTTGACCCCCACGCCCCTCCCCTCCACCTGCAATGCACACACACAGCGCTGGTCAGTCGGCAGTGGGGGGACCAAGGGTAAATGTCAACTGATAAAACTAAAAAAGTGGGAGAAAACGAGGGGCCACTGGTTGAGGGATGACCACAAGCCACAGACCCCAGGGGCACCTGTGGGGTTGTACCTGCAGTAGGGGTTGAACCTGGGGGGCTGTAAGGGGGGCTGAACCTGAGAGGGGTACCGGCAGTATGGGGTCTGTGGCTTGTGAGCCGGCCCCAACCAGTGGCCAGATTTTGTCCGAGAAAACATGGAAGTACGACTGATCCAAATGAGAGACAATCTTGAGCGACTAACAGCGTGCAAGGCTTAGTCCAAGGAGGAGAGGGTACTTAGCTGGAAGCTAGACGCACCGCTTAGAGTGGGCTCGCCTCCCCTGCACTACTCCACTCGCCTGCCGTTCCTCCACCCATCCCCATGGCCCGCGAGTGCCTGCACGGCCACAGGGGAGGGGCGTGAGGGAGTGTTGGTGTTGTTGACCCCCACGCCTCTCCCCTCCACCTGCAATGCACACACACACAGCGCTGGTCAGTGCACAGAGGAGGGATAAGCGGTGAATGTCAACTGATAAAACTGCAGGAGAGGGAAAGGAGGGCCAATGGTGGAGGGACGACCACAAGCCACAGACCCCTAAGGGCACCTGGGAGGGGGGGGGTGACCTGCAGTTGGAGTGAACCTGGGGGGTGCTGTAAGGCTGGAGGGAGGCTGAACCTGAAGGATGTATGGGGTCTGTGGCTTGAGAGCAGCGCCCCAACCAGTGGGCAGCTTTTGAAAGAGAAAACATCGAAGGAAGAGTGATCAAGATGGGGAAAGCAGGGGGACATCCAGCATTCCCAAGTCCAGGGAGGACGAGGAACTTAGCTGGAAGCTGAAGCACGGACGGCTGAGGGTGGGCTCCACTCTCCTTCCCTTGATTCGCCCTCCTGCCGTTCCTCCACCCATCCCCGCGGGTACCTGCACGCCCACAGGGGAGGGGCGAGAGGGAGTGAGTGTTGGTCTTGACCCCACGCCCCTCCCCTCCACCTGCAATGCACACACACAGCGCTGGTCAGTGGGCAGTGGAGGGATAAGCAGTGAATGGCGAGAGATAAAACTGCAGTAGAGAGAAGGGCGGACCACTGGTGGAGGGACGACCACAAGCCACAGACGCCAGGGGCACCTGGGGGGTGTAGCAGTAGGGGGTGAGCCTGGGGCGGGAGGCTGTTAGGGGGGCTGAACCTGAGGGGGTTACCAGTAGTAGGGGGTCTGTGGCTTGTGAGCCGAGCCCCAACCAGTGGCCCGATTTTGAAGGAGAGAACATGTCGACGCACGCGTGATAAAATGAATCGAAAAACTTGAAAGCAACTAGCAGCACGCAAGACTGAGTTCAGGGAGACGAAGGTACTTAGCTGGAAGATGAGGCGCTGCTGAGTGACGCCTCCCAACTCCCCTGCCCTTGATCCACTTCCCCCCCTTTGCTTGATCCACTTCCCCCCCTTTGCTCCACTCCCCTGCCCTTGATCCACCCATCCCCACGAGTACCTGCATGGCCACAGGAGAGGGGCGTGAGGGAGTGTCGATGTTAACCCCACGCCCCTCCCCTCCACCTGCAATGCACACACGGCGCTAGTCATTGTGCGGTGAAGAGACCAGGGGATGCATGCATGTGGGGTGAGGTAGGGGCGGGAAGAAGGGAGGGGGCCACTGGTGGAGCGCCAGCTGCAAGCCACAGATCCAAGGGGAGTTATAACTGAGGGCTTGAGGTTGAACCTGAGGGCTGTACCTGCAGTACCTGGGGGGGTCCACCTGCAGAGAGGGATTCTGTGGCCTGCGAGCTGAGCTGCCACCAGCGGCACCGGTTTAAGCGAGAGAACGAACGACGCAACAGAGCGAGTGACGGCAGCAAAGAGCATGGCGGGGCGAGCGTGCGAGGGTAGAGGGATGGAACCACTTAGCTGGAAAGTTGAGCCGAGTGAATCTGCTGCCTGCGCTGCCGCTGTCCTGGCGCTTATGCTGGTACCTGCAGACGTCCCTGCAGCCCCGCATGCTGCTGGCGACGGGGCTGACGGCGATCAGAGGCACTCGCGTTGCCTCCCACGCACCAACAGCGAGGCGACAGGTAGAGGGGGTGTGACGGGAGGGCGGGGGGAAGGGGCGAAACCACGAAGGTCGTTAGTGCATGCAGTCTCGGAGAACGACACGGCACCAGCGACAACGACTCGACTCTTTAGGCAGGCGGCCTTTCCTAGACGCCTACGCGCCCCCCCACGTCGCTCGAATTGAGAATACCTTTCAGCGGTGGGAAGCGGCGACAAGTGCACAACAAGGGGGCTCATGCGCGCTCGCGCTGATGCCAACGTCGCTGGCGCTGATGCCAACGTCGCTGGCGCTGATGCCTTACTGCCGCCCGGCATGACGCAGGCGACGATGGTCGCGGCGATCCAGAGGCACTCTCTCGTTGGCTCACCCGCGCCACCAGCGGGTCGAGGAGCGCGGAGGGACGGGGGGGAGAAAGGGAAGTCACGCCACGAGAAGAAGAGACGTCAGTACGCGCTGGATTTCGATCAACGACGCGAGGACATGGCAACGACTTGACTCTGTAGGCAGGCGGCCTTTCCTCGACGCATACGCGCCCCCCCACGTCCCTCGGATTGCGAGCATACCTTTCAGCAGTGGGAAGAGACGAGGCGCGGAAGCTGGTGATGCCATCGGCGTTGGCGCTGGTGATGAAACTGATGCTGGTGCTGGCGCACATGCCTTACAGCCGTCACTGCAGCCGTTACTGCCGCCCGGCATGGCGCGGGCGACGGTGGTCGCGGCAATCCAGAGGCACTCTCTCGTTGCGTCCCACGCGCCACCAGCGACCGAGGAGCGCGGAGGGACGGGCGGGGGACACAGGGAAGACACGCCACGAGAAGAACAGACGTCAGTACGCGCTGGATTTCGATCAACGATGCGAGGAAATGGCAACGACTCGACTCTTTAGGCAGGCGGCCTTTCCTAGACGCATACGCGCCCCCCCATCTCCCTCGAATAGCGAGCAGACCTTTCAATGGGAGGAAGAGACGATAAATCGAAGTGGGCGAGCAGCCGTGAGAAGACCCGTGCAGCAGCAGCAGGGAGGTTGCGACTCGTGGGGTGGCAGCAGCAGGTCAGTCGGTCGTGGCGTGCAAACGTGTGCAGCCCCCTCGCCTCGACTCCCTGCACATCGCAACGCGGAGAGTCAGACGCGGACCAGAAACGACTAAGAAACGACGAAGAAACGACGAGGAAACGACTAAGAAATCAAGGCGTAACGAACGAAAATGACAGTCCGAGCTATCTGCTCGCAGATTCTTACCAGCAGACGGTTGAGAGCGCGCACATGTGACGACGCGCGGAATTAATGCGTACGTCTTGCGACTCCAATCTGCAAAAACGTTAAAAGAATGCCGTCAGATTTAGATTAATAAAAATTCGGGAAACAAGCGTTACGAAAATCTGAATTGCGGAAATTTACCTCGAGAACCGCGAGAGCCTTCAGCAGAATTGGTTGACAAACCCTTGGTACGTGCCGTACGCTCTTATGAAATCTGCAGCACCGGAAAGATAAAACGTCGGATCAGCATCACAGAATCGAGTAGAAAACGAGCTGTTAATAAAAAGCAAGTTACGGTAACTTACAAAAAAAAAGCGAGCAGAATTCAACAGAATTTACCGAATATGGTTACTCCAGCTCGTGAGAAATTCTCCATCAGCGCGCCATTCGTACGCGAATAAATACGGAGATCTATCCGCATATCTGAGAACTAACTCTCTCGCTATGAGCGAGTGCTCGTGCTATCGTCTGGCAGCCGAGGTGCGAAGAAAACGAGTTTCCGAGGAGCGAAATGGAGTTGCGGCGTGAAGAATGGCCACGGACGAGCAGAATGACGCAAGAATGAGCAAAAACGGAGGAGAAATGAGCTCGGACGAGGTGGAAAACGGGAGTCGGGCGAAGTGGATTCTGAGCGGACACGGACCGACCACACGTTGGGGGACTCCCAACGGAAACCGCATCGCGTCGGCTGCTAATTGCTGCTAAAATCGGCAGGATTTTTGGATTTCGCAGGCGGGAGGCAGAAAACGAACCGTTAGCCTACCAAAATTCTATAGAAATCGAGCACCGATTGGCTGAAACGTGGGACCACAGAAGTGGTCGGATCGCGACAAGTGATTGGGTCTGCGGCGACGAAGCGCTGTGAAAGTTGGAGCGAGTTAGCGAGGTAAAGGCGGGGTGAGCGCCGCCATAGCAGGCGTGGTGTCTGAAGTTTGGCGGTGCTGGTTCGCCTGACTGAAGGCTCTCAGCAGATCTGATTCGTCCAACTTTGCGAGTCACTCATCTCGCCCTCCTGAAACCCTAGCACATCTGCGTAGGAGGGAGGAAGGGATTCTGCATTTTCTGCCCGGAGGGCATTTTCAGAACTGCGGTTTTCCTCAATATCTGGAAGATTGAGCGCTGGTTTCAGCTGTAACAGGCTTCAGGCAGCCGAAGAAATCAACGGAAGTTGAATCGATCGGGCAGGCCTTCAGATCCTCCCCTGCTCCACCTCTGACAACTCTGAACACGGAGAGAATTTCGAAACCTCACGCGCCAATGTCCGAGTCGCCTGTTCGGTCCGTTGCAAATGCCAACATATGAAATACCGCCCAGGAGGATGATCTTTACAAACCAAATCCATATTATGCGTTTTAACACTCATAACTATTAGCATATCGCCTCAATGCCTCACTACTGTGGTTCAAGTTTCAACTCGTAGCTTTCGATATCAGCCTATATTTTAAAATTAAAGACTGACTAAAACCGTAATGCGTACTACTTGGACAGAAGTCAACTCCCTTGGTGCATTGTGTGATGCATGCATTGACAAATTATTTTGTGATGTATTCCCTGAGAATATAATAACATTCCTCAAGTGCTGAGAGAAATACCTACCAGAGGGCACACGCTTCATTCTATGAAATAAGTATCCACAGTATCGTTATTCACACGTTACACTCTGCTGAACAATCAACCAGTCCACGAAATGTCATTCCTCGGCTCACCTTCGTCCCTCGAGATTTGTTTTCTGCACTGGGTGTTGACGAGCTGTGATCCGAGATATTCCTGAAGTTTGAGTCCCTGGAAGTTGACGAGGCACACCCTTCAAGCAGTCCACAGTTGGGCTTGCATTTTCTGCCGCAGCCGCCTCGTAGCATCCGTCCCTTCGTCTCCTGCATCACAGCCTCTTTAGTCTCCTCCGTTATCGCAGAGCCCTCTTTTATTTGCGGTGCGATCGCCGACGATGGCTGGTCTTGCAATCCTTTTCATTTGACGCTTCCATTCCTGCAGACCGTCGCGTTTCCTAGATTCCCCGCTAACCCGAGTGGAGTCGTCTTTATCTGAGCCAAACCGGTCGTGAGCTATGCGAGTTAACGTCCTTGCGCCGGTTTGATTCGCCCAGCACTAGCTTCTGCAGCAGCCTGACTGCGGTGGTAGAGGGAGGGATGGCGAAGCGCAGGTCGACTTTTCCTGTCGTGCGATGGCTGCTCATCGCCTGCGCGCTCTCCTTCGTCCTCGTGCAGGTCCGCTCGCACTGCCACCTGGTCCGCTCGCACTGCCGCCTGGTCCGCTCGCTGCCGCCTGGTCCGCTCGCACTGCCGCCTAGTCCGCTCGTTGCCGCCTGGTCCGCTCGCACTGCTGCCTAGTCCGCTCGTTGCCGCCTGGTCCGTTCGCACTGCCGCCTAGTCCGCTCGTTGCCGCCTGGTCCGCTCGCACTGCCGCCCGGCTTCAGTTCCTGAAATTAAACGCGTTGCATCTATCTTAGAAGTTTAATGGCGCTCGTCGTGTCTCCGGAATCTCCGCCAGCGTATGCGTACCTCATCTACATAATCTCGTCTTGTCTATCCCCGTCTTGGTATTTCTTTGTGATCCGGATTGACCGGGCAGATTCGGATGCTGATGATAGGAACGGAGTGCTCCGACCGCGTGAAGGTGCTCATGGAGGCTCAGCGCAAGTGGGCCAACGAGGCCCGCTCGCTGCGCAAGAACCTCACAGACGTCACCAGTGAGTCACACACGCCGATCTACAGTCACCATTTACCTTGCGCTTCTTTTCGTCAGTAGCAATGGCTCACTCTATTCTCCCTTCACAGTTTCGGAACGGACGGGGTCACACAGGAGAATCGGAATAATTTCTGACCAATGAACGCATCCGCCTTGCCAATTGCACTCACTGCCTGCGTGCATGGGACGCCACGGGGTTGGAGGAGACATGTTGTGAGTCTTGCTTTTGATCTTCCCCTGCCGCTCCTATGCCACCCACTGCGAGCAGGGGAAACCATGGGGCTGGAGGAGGAGCTGGAGAAGGCCCAGGCGGCGTACAAGCACGCCAGGCAAGGTGCGTGGCTCGGGTGACTTTGCAGTCGACGCCAAAGGTGGGCTGGTTTTCCCATTATGGGTCGGTCAATGGGTGTGTGGGTACTGTGGTCTCTGCTTCTTTGCTGGGTTTACTGTCACTGGCTCTTTCCTTGTCTCCTGTTTCCTCATGCCCGTCTCTCCCTCTCGTGGACCGTTGCCCTCCTCTCCTCCTTTCCCACCCGCCCTGCTGTCTGCTTCTGTGCGGCAACACCCGCTCTTGACTCGCGGCTCGGCTGCTCTGCTGCTCTGCTGCGCTGTGCTGCCTCGGATATGGGGGGACGGATTTGGGATCTGCGATGGTGCTGCTGACCGCCTGCTGCCCGTCCGTTCATTGCAGAGCTGGTGAGCTCAGGTGGTCTTATAGTGCAGATAGTGCTAGTGCCCCTGACGTGACGTTCGGCGCCCGTGCCGTGCAGTTATGCATACTTGGGCACTCTGCGTTGGAGTGGCAATCACGTGTAGCCCCGGTGTTTACTACATGGATTACCTTTACACTTGTTAGCCTCCACGCTGATATTTAAACATTTGTAATGGATCAGCGTTTACAAGGGTCATTGAGGAGGCGCAATAGAAGCATCAGAGTTGTGATTACTTCTTTCCTTCTATCCTCTCACGTGCAGGAAGATACGCAGAGAAAGCAGCAACAGCAGCAGCAGCAGCAACAGCACGTAGTGGCCACGTCAACAGATCCATTAGACAAGCAGGGCGGAGGGGAGGGGCAGACAGGAGCAGGGGTGACACGGGGAGGTGGTATTCGAGGGGGAAAGATGCTGGGTGGAGGGGTGGTGCAGGCAGCGAGGGCAGGGAGGATGCGGGGAGGGGGCGATGCAAAGGATGCAGTGGCGGCTGTGGTGATCATGGCATGCAATAGAGTGGACTATCTCGACCGCACCATCCAATCCGTGCTGCTGTGAGCGCTGTGGTGATTTCCCTGATTCAGCCATTCCCTCACCATCTTACCTCCTCTGCCTTGTCCCTCCATCCATCCCGCCCTTTCCAAACTGCTGACTCATATTGCTGACTTTGTCGTGCCCGCACTACTCACCCTCCTTTCAGGCACCACAAGGGGCTTGACACCAAGTTTCCCCTCTTCATTTCCCAGGTGACACTTGCCCCTTCAAGAAGATGCTGTTTGACATGACATGACATGACATGATATGACATGACACGGCATGACATGACATGACATGAAATGAAATGACATGACATGATATGATATGACATGACATGAAATGAAATGACATGACATGATATGATATGACATGACATGACATGACATGACGCCCCATTCGCCCTGCCACATGCCCACACGCCCCATGCATGCCGTGCACCCACTGTTACATTGCACTCATGCGATCAAGCACACATGCCATGTCCACGTCACGAAGAGACAGGGCGAACAGAGGTCAACTAGGCTTCGCCCCCACTTCATGTGGCATACTTTCTCATTCTCATGGTGTTCTCGTTCGTATTCTCTTTCACTTACTGGTGTATGCTGCCAATCTATCTGTGTCTGGTTGGCATCAGGACGGCACGAATGCAGGAGTCAAGGAGAGGGCCAAGCAGGCCCAACAGTTCACTTACCTGCAGGTGATTGTTTTCCCTTACCAATCCGCAATGCACTTTCTTACATGCGATTCATCACAATGCACGCACTTATCTACACTACGTGCGATTCGTCACAATGCACGCACTTATCTACACTTCATGTGATTCGTCACAATGCACGCACTTATCTACACTTCATGTGATTCGTCACAATGCACGCACTTATCTACACTACGTGCGATTCGTCACAATGCACGCACCTATCTACACTACATGTGATTCGTCACAATGCACGCACTTATCTACACTACATGTGATTCGTCACAATGCACGCACTTATCTACACTTCATGTGATTCGTCACAATGCACGCACTTATCTACACTACATGTGATTCGTCACAATGCACGCACTTATCTACACTACATGCGATTCGTCACAATGCACGCACTTATCTACACTACATGTGATTCGTCACAATGCACGCACTTATCTACACTGCATGTGATTCATCACAATGCACGCACTTATCTACACTACATGTGATTCGTCACAATGCACGCACTTATCTACACTACATGTGATTCGTCACAATGCACGCACTGATCTACACTACGTGTGATTCATCACCATTGCCTTTGCAGCGAATCTCACGTGCGCCCTCAGTTGCATTGCATCTACTCATCATTGATCTCAAACCCAACCCTTCCTTCTTTCATTCCCCTCCCCTCCTACTGCTCGTCTGATGGATGGGGGCATGCATGCATGCACAGCACATAGAGGCAGCACCCCCCAGAATGAACAACCCAGGGGAGAACATCGCTTACTACAGAATAGCAGGTGGGGGAGCGATGCCTGATTGCTGATGGCCATACTTAACGCTCGGCTCTCTCTGGTTGATCCTCCCATGCGCTCCTAATACCACTTGTGAGTGTGCTCCCGTCCGACAATATACTCCCCTGTCTATCACCCCCGGTCTCCCCCCAGAGCACTACAAGTTTGCGTTGACTGAGCTCTTTGACCGGAGGCAGTTTCCACGAGTCATCATTCTCGAAGGTACCCTTTCCCAGATCTTTGAAGCCAGCCCTTCTAACTCTTGGCAGTGGCTTGTAATTTTAATTCCATTCAAAAAATGCATTCTCTCAGATTGCTGGAAAGTATGCTTTGATCTTAGTAATATCTTTTCCAGTCTTGGGATGCTGCAACTTGTCATATCACCATCCTACATCTCCCATGCATTTCCTCCATGCCTCCATCTCTCTAACCCGCCGCACCCCCGAACCCTTCCTTCCCTCTCCCCCCCCAACCCCCCACCCCACTTTGTTACTTTGAGGCCGCCTCTTCACTCTAGTCCTCACCCTCTTACCGCCCCCATCTTGCCTCACCTACCCCAACCCCGTCCATGCATCCAGACGACATGGGGTATGCTCCAGACTTCTTTGATTACTTTGAGGCTGCCTCCCCACTCTAAACCCCACCTACCTCCCCTCTCCACCTGTCCCCCACACGCTCCCTCCTCTCTCTCTCCCGTGACTTTTGAGTCGACTCAAAAGATGACTTTTGAGTCGACTCAAAAACCCTCTCCACCTTTCCCCCACACGCTCCCTCCTCTCTCTCTCCCGTCCGTGCACCCAGACGACATGGAGCTCGCTCCAGACTTCTTTGACTACTTCGAGGCCACTTCCAACCTGCTTGACGTGGACGAGTGAGTGCTTGCTTGCGTGGACGAGTGAGTGCTTGCTTCCGTGGACGAGTGAGTGCTTGCTTGTCGTGGACGATTGAGTGCTTGCTTGACGTGGACGAGTGAGTGCTTGCTTGACGTGGACGATTGAGTGCTTGCTTGACGTGGACGAGTGAGTGCTTGGACGTGGACGAGTGAGTGCTTGCTTGCGTGGGTTGAGTTGGTATGGGATGGGATGGGCGGTCTTGCGCTGGGCTGTCTTGCGCTGCATGCTTGGTATGCTTGGTATGCTTGGCATGCTTGCTGTGCTTGGCATGCTTGGTGTGCTTGGTGTGCTTGGTGTGCTTGGTATGCGTCGTATTCTTGATGTTCTTGCTATGATTCGTATGCTTGGCATTCTTGGTATTCTCGGTACTCTCGGCACTCTTGGTACTCCTCTAGGTACTCTTGGTACTCCTCTCAGTACTCTTGGTACTCCTCTTGGTACTCCTCTTGGTACTCCTCTTGGTACTCCTCTTGGTACTCCTCTGTCAGGGCTGGATGCTCAAGCAACGGCTGTTTCCGCACATCACTTTCTCTTCTTCTTGCCACTCTCTCTGGCCCCCTCCCCTCCCCCCAGGTCCATCCTAGCTGTGTCGTTGTGGAACGACAACGGGCAGAAGCAATTCGTGCACGACAGCGAGCTGCTGTACCGCTCGGACTTGTTCCCGGGGCTGGGCTGGATGCTCAAGCGCGAGCTGTCCTCCTCCCCGCCTATCACTCCCCTCCTTTCCTCCTCCTGTCACTGCCCTCCCTCCCCCACCCCAGGTCCATCCTGGCAGTGTCATCGTGGAACGACAACGGGCAGAAGCAGTTTGTGCACGACTCGGAGCTGCTGTACCGCTCGGACTTCTTCCCAGGGCTGGGCTGGATGCTCAAGCGCGAGCTGTGGGCAGAGCTGAAGCCCAAGTGGGCGCGTGCCTACTGGGACGACTGGCTGCGCCTGCCCGAGCAGCGCAAGGGGAGGCAGACCATCCGGCCGGAGGTCTGCCGCACCTACAACTTTGGCGAGCATGTGAGTGGCTGCCGAACCCTGCCAAACCGAAATCCAAGGAGCACTTGAGTGCAGTTTCAATGCTTGTGGTTGTGGCCTTCTGTCTCAATCAGTGTGGTTTAGAGTGCTAGGAGCTCAGCTGATCTTGAGTGCTAGGAGCTTAGCTTAGCTTAGCTGATGTTGTTCAGTCCCTGACGTCTGCTGAATCCACCTTTTCCAATCCCTCTCCCTATGCCGCCTCATTTGCGCCTCCTGTCCCTGGCTCCACTTCCCTCCCTCCAGGGTTCGAGCATGGGGCAGTACTTCAGCCAGTACCTGGCACCCATCCGGCTCAACGCCCTGCCAGTCAACTGGGCTCAAAAAGACCTCAGCTACCTCCTCGACGTCAGCTACCCTGCCTACATGGTCTCCCAGCTGCGCACCGCGCGCCTCATCCCCCTCGCAGCCGTGAACACAGAGGTGGTAACCCCATCGGAGCTAGGGTACGACGTGATGGTGGAGTATGGCAACGAGAGCAGCTTTGCGCAGCTGGCGGGGGAGTTTGGCGTGTTCCAGGAGTGGAAGGCGGGCGTGCCGCGCACGGCGTACAGCGGCGTTGTGGTGTTCCGGTACCACGGGCCGCACCGGGTGTTCTTTGTGGAAAGGAGAGGGCTCGCCAGGCTGGGGTTCAAGCTGCCTTCTGGCACTTAGGCCATGGCGTACCGTTGGATTTGGGAGGGTTGCTATGAAGGACACAAGTAGTGGAGCTCTACAATGGGAATGGGAGCTTATAAGAATTCCACTACGCTAACGCATAGGGGGGAAATGTCGGAGAAGTGAGATAGGAAGTTTGGCCTTATCGAATACAGAATCTTACTTGTATGCTAGCCTTTTTACGGAATACTTTCCACACTTTTTACTTGTATGAAAGCCTTTTAACTTGTATTCCACACTTTCCACGAGTTCCACGGAGTTCCTCCCATAAAGCGGACATAGCTCGGCAACGTGCCCAGCTTTCACTGGCTGTCAGACGCGTGGCGACTATTTCACCACAACGCCTGCATCTAGCTGCGTCTCTAGTACGTGTACAGCAGTGGAACATAGCGTGCTCCTCCGCGCCCGCCGCGCCTCCCGCCCTACTCCCTTTCTCTCTGCCGCCTCTCGCGCCGCTCTTGCCGTGCCTTCGCGGCGTGTAATCGCGAGGATTTGCCATACTGTGGCGGCGGCTTGTAGCGGTCCCGCGTGATTCCCGGGTGCATTTTGAGCGGAGCTTGTAGCGGTCCGGCGGCTTGTAGCGGTCCGGCGTCTTGTAGCGGTCAGGCGAGTGATTTCGAGTCGCTGTCGCGCGTTTCCGACGCGTTCATCTTATTTATCATGAAGGATCGCCAGCAGCAGCTCGCCCCGTCTCTCTCGATCCGCTACTACTAGCTTCTCCTGCTGTCCTACGGCGACCGTTCCCCTGCAAGTCGCGTCTGCTTCGATTTCACGGCAACTTTCCACATCGCCTCACCCAATCTTGCTTCTCCTAGCGAGCGCTCAGCTTCAACCTTAGACGCGCCAATGGCTTCGCTACCAGCGAGTTGCCACGTGTCCCCATCTCATCGGACGCTCCTCCCGGTGCGGTCAAATCCAGCCGTCGATTTCATTCGGACTGCGCGCCGAGCCCCTCCCCGCCGCCAGCGCGCCTTCCGCGTGTCCGTTCCGCGCGCGCAAGCCGACGACGGCCCGGCGCAGCGAAGCGGGCCGCGGTGGGACCCGTTATTAGCAGACTCGGGAACGGACTGCCCGGTGCCGGAGGAGCAGCAGCCTATTAACGAGTACCAGAGCCTGCTCGAGTCGGCCGTGTTCCCGTGGGTCACGCTGGACCGCCTCAGCTACGCGCTGCGCCTCGTCGGCGTCGGCGTGGCCGTTGCTGCGCTGATTGGCTGGCCTGTCGCGTCGCTGACGTTCGACCCCAAGGTAGGGGCGGTAGGGGCGTTGGAATGTCAAGGCAAGAAGGGCCCCACGGAAGCCCAACGAGATTCGAAGTCTGAACTGTCAAGGGGAAGTTGAATCTCACGTATGGGCTTTGAGGCACCTCAAGAATCTTCTTGGGAGCTCCCCCTCCAATTCACCCCCTCCCCTCCCCTCCCCTCCCCTCCCCTCCCCTCCCCTCCCCTCCCCTCCCCTCCCCTCCCCTTCCCCTCATGCCCTTCCCTTTCCCCCCATTCCCGCCCGCCTCCCCGTTCCCCCTCTCGCTTCCCGCCTCTCTCCCTCCCGCCCGCCTCCCCTGCGCCTCTTCCCCCTCCTCCCTCGTCGTCTTTTTTGTCTCCCCCCCAACGCCCCCTCCTCCCACATTCGTAACTGCAGGACGAAGTGCAAAAACCTCATATGGACTCAAACTTCCCCTCACTGCCTCCTCTCGCAACCCCCTTTTCGTTTACTCACTCCCTCTCCCTCCCCCACCCCCCCCGCAGAGGGATGCGCTACAGTGCCTACTGGGGTCGCTGGGCGGCGGGCAACTGGCGGTTACTTTGGCGGCGCTTCGGCTGTATCTGGGGTGGTCGTACATCGGCAACAGACTGTTCAGCGCTACAGTCGAATGTGAGCTACCGGTTTGTAAGATGTGAGCTACAGACTATTCGTGCTGCAATCCGTGCTACAGACTATCCGCACACACACACACACACACACACACACACACACACACACCCCTCAAACCTGTAGAATCCCTCCCTGCTGCCACCTCGTCCCCCTCCCCTCGGTGCAGACGAGGAGACGGGATGGTATGACGGCCAGGTTTGGGTGAAGACGCCGGAGCTGCTGGCGCGAGACAGACTGCTGGCCTCCTACAAGGTGCGTTTCGCAGGGCACCGGGACACGGCATTCCCCCCTTTGCTCGCCCCGTGTGCTTCTTGAGTCGACTCAGAAATCACCTTTTGCTCGCCCCGTGTGCTTCCTACAGTCTCTCTCCTCGTCTCTGCCCTCTTCTTCCCCACGCTTCCCCCTTTTTTCCCCAGGCCTCCATTCTCTTGACCCTTCCCTTCACCATTCACCATCCCCCAACTCTCCTGCCAGGTGAAGCCAGTCCTCAATCGTCTTAAAACCACCCTGCTGGGTTTGGGCCTCTCACTCGCAGCCACCACTGCCCTCCTCTTCCTCCTCCCATCCTCCGCCTCCTCCCCCTCGTCCCTCTCCAACCTCACTCCTGCCTCCTACATCCCGGACTCAAGCGCCACATCAGCACTGACAGCTCAGCAGGAGCAAAGAGCCGGTGAGGAGGAGGGAGGTGCTTATATCGAAGGCAGGATGGGTCTGCCATCCCCGTTATTAGATGCTATGCCTGGGTGCGGGCCAGCAGAATCAGCAGCAGAAGAGATCTCTTGAATCTTTGTGGTTTTTGGACCACTGTGTTTGCAATGGCGTCACTGCCTCTTTTCCGACTAAAGCCCTCCTTTTACCGGGATGTCGCATCTCTGCTGCGCTTGTAATCTAACATCCGCTCTTTATGAATGACGGCATTGCCTTCTAACATATTCATCCACCAGGTGACCCTTGGGCAGCATTGCCTTCTTCAGGTGCTCCCATCGCCAGCCCCACGCCCTCCCGCAGTACACCTGCCTACCGCTTCAATTACCTCCTCCACCACACCACGAACCCGCCCACCTTCCTTCCCCACTCACCCTCCCTCACCCCACTCTCCTCAACATTCCATCTGCCCGGCTTCCTGCCGGTCAGCCTGCCCGGAAACCCTCTCCTCCCGCCTCCATTCTCCATAGAAGACGACTCGTTATACTCTCAGAGCGAGGCAGCAGCAGTTGCACAGTCGCTCTCCGTCCCATCCTCTAGAGTGAACGTGTTGATCATAGGCGAGCAACAGCAGCACCAGGGGGATGCAGAGTGGGAGATAGATGCTGTCCCTGGTCGCCCTGGCTTGCCCACTATTCTAGGAGTTGGCGTGCAGGCTGGATCTGGGGGGGAGGCGAATGTGGGTGTACCGTCGATGCTGCTGAGGGGGAGGGATCGAAGCGGGGGTGGTGGTGGTGGTGGTGGTGGTACTGTTAGGATCTCGGATCATCTTGCGGTGGGGCCTAATGGGGAGCTAATTGTGGTCAAGTCCTTGCTGCCGTCGCAGGAGTGATGGTGAGTAGTGGCATGAACTAATATCACTGCTTGTAGAAATGTTTTTTGGTTTGCCGCCTTTGTGTGGGCCTGAAAAACAGAAAATGGGGTTATCAGATGGTTTTGATTCACATGTGCGAACCTTAGCTTTCACACAACCTTTAGCTTTCGCATGAGCCTTTCATAATTCGTTAAGAAAATTACTTACCGTTGGAGAAATTCTATTTCGACAGGAGCAGCTCTGTAAGGAATTCCGATTCCTTACTGGGACTCGCCACAGCGAGTGCCGCGAACAGCGCGGGCCCGCAGGCTCGGCCCTGGTTTATCGCGCCAAACCAGCCCTTGACGTCCTTTTCGGCCCCAACCTGACCCTAAGTCGCCCTAAACCCGTTTTGACCCCATCACCCTCGGTCGGGACTACCTAGCCCTCGACTGGTCCAACCCTCGACATTTCGACCTGGTCAACTCACACTATATAAGCCCTAGGTCTCATTATTCAGGAGGATTCTGTAATCACGTTCCCTTATAGTATTATGTGCTATACTCAGAGTTATAATTCATAACAGCTGATATCAGAGCCCCGATTCTGCCCATCTAGTTTCCGATAGGGGAGCAGACCCTATCCGGGAAGGGGGCGGAAGGATGCTGATGGCGAGCGCACGTCGAGGAAATTAATTGCGCGGGCGTTGCCGATGCCGTCAGATCTTGTCCGTGTCAGAAACCCAGTCACTAACCACTGGGTTAAAAGGGCTTGTTGAGTAGCGGGTAAGTGCGCCCATAGCCCCCCAGGCTCTGCACCTGTGGCCCTTCCCCGAGGATCTCAAGGGCAACCCCAGCGGGTCACTCAACACCCCCCCCCCCGCTGGGATAGGTGGAAGACACAAGCGCCTCTGCAGCGCTGGCACTGGGAGTTGAACCCAAGACCTTTGGCTTTGATACCATGTCACAATAATTGAATAAATGGTAAAGTGAGAGTACACACAAATATATCTAAGTTTTGTATCCTCTAAGAGGTGACTCTATACAGTCTATACAAACATGACAAATACACATGTTTGACACACCCCCTAGACTGCATAGGGGAATACCCTAAACAAGCAGCTCAGGGCGGCACTACTAGTCCAACCTCTGAGACAAGGGTCTGAGCGACCGGTCAGAAGGAGTACAGACAAGGCAAGCACAAGAGCAGGGCGGCACTACTAGTCCAGCCACTGGGAGAGGACACAAGTCCAGTCTGAGTATACATATAAAGGACAGTACAAAGTCAAGGTCCTAGCAAGTGAGAGGCTACAGGAACTAGACCAAGCTGTACACAATGCCGCTGATGATCTTTAGGCGCAAGCGCCTTCGTAAAGATATCAGCCGTGTTGGCACCTGAGGCCAAGTGTACTACGCGAGCCTGACGTCGCTGCTGTAGCTCACGCAGGAGGAAGTACCGCAGCTGAATGTGCTTCGCTCTGCCCTCGAGTCGAGGCTCCTGACACAGGAGGATCATGGCCCTGTTGTCAGCGAACAGGACCGGGGCAGAGCTAGGTCGCTCACCTAAGTCAGTGAGCAAGAAGGTCAGCCAGCGGAGCTCCTGTGCCGCCATGGCACCGGCGTAGATCTCAGCCTCACAGCTGGACTGTGCAACAGACGAGGAGCGAGTAGCTCTCCACGAGACGGCACCTGAGCCAAGGCTGAAGCAGTAGCCCTGGGTAGACCGGAGTGTCTCAGCGTCGTCTGCCCACGAAGCGTCTGTGTGCCCAGTAAGGACCGCTGGCCTGCGTCCTCCTAGCACTAACCCCATGCCCGATGTACTAGCAAGATAACGCAGAA